TCAAACATCAGACGGTGAAATACACGTCACAAATTTCGATCAGTATCAACAGTTTTTGTGACGCCAATTTTTTGATTACGAAAGTAAAACAAAAACTAAAACAAAGAAGAACAACATTCACCTTGGATACTTTGGCACGGCAGTATGGCGCAGGTAGCAACTTGAATGCGAAAAATTGAAGAAAAACGTAATAAACTTTACTATATTCGTTGTATTCGTGACATTACGAATTTCAATTCATGTCTCGTGGTTTCGGCTGTTTCCTTTCCACATTTTTAACAACTCATGTGTGATCCATGCTCTCACAATGAGTCTTGTCACTCGGACTCAAATTCGATTCGATCCAAGTGTCAGGGTGACGACTCGGACTCGATTCGGTGACTTTTCGAACATTCCGAATTCCATGCATCAGATACGACTGACTTCAAGGAAACATACAATCTTTTGCAAAAACTATGGGACATGTGCTGTAACTTTAGACAATTTGAAAGGCGTAGCGCCCCACCCCGCGTTCTCCCAGCTCAATTTTGGGCCGACAAAAATCTGATGTCTGGGTGCAAGACTGCCTGGCACATTGAAACGGGTGAAAAAAATGTATGTGAAATTTATATGTATATTGTCAATGTATATTGTCAAAGATTGCATTATAAGATGATCCGAAAAAATCCGATTAGACATTTTACGCTTTTGAACCTTTTTGAAATCACAATGTCTCCAAATACAAGCTTTCATTCAAGATACTACGGGTTATAGTTCATGTCTCGCTATTTATGAATGCTAATCCTCACCCTGACCCTAACTGCTAACCCTAACTCATAAACAGCGAGACATGAATCTATATCCGTACTACGTCAGAGGTACACCGCAGGCTACGTATAGAGCCCGCGGTGTTGTCGTAGAGGAAGCTTATGATTTGGTAAATCGGACGCGGACGTCACAAAAAAACATAAAAGACAACACACGCCAAATTCACAGCGTCAGCAACATGAGTAAAAACTATCATGCACTCTTTGTAATAACAAACACGGGTATAGATGAAAAACAAATCTAAATCGTAAAGTAAAACCATTGGTGTAATAATGGTGGTAAAGCTCAATAACTGTTTCAGTTCGTCACGTCCACGTACCAGATTAAGCACATCTTACATTAGGCTCGATTCCCGAATGCCGGCTGGTAATCGAGCCTAATCTAGTAATCTTACATCTGTTTTACGTAATTCGCGTAGGCGCGGTCAGTAATTCAATATCAGGGACAGGGTCAACACTGACTGTACAAAGCACAGCTATTTATAGAACAATATATAAGTGGTTAAATATATAATATATATATATATCGATTCGTCAAATAAATATTTCTTATTCTCTTGATTTAGGTTGAGAGGGACTTATTGACCTCTACGACAAGGTGAACTGATTGGAGTACGTTTTCGTTTAATATCTCCAGGACATAGATGAATTTGTTTTTCAATGTAAGACAATATTCGATTGACAATATTCTAGCAATTTTTGACGAATCAAAAAAACATTTTTAATTATTTTGAATGACTTGTTCCGTCAACCTTTTCGCGCGAGGTTGGATCACGTACGACTGCTGTACGGCCCCCTAAAATCAAAACCGAGACAAACGAGTAATGCAGGTGGATAATATAGAGAGGTTAAGATACCCCGGTTCTGGTCTACGGGTACGAGTATCGCCATTTTGTTTACCAATTTTTGCTGATGTCAGCATTTTTACCCGTAATTTCTACCCGTTTCCCCGCGGTAAACCATGGTCTACACGTAAAAGAGAAACGGGTACGGGTGTTTTGTGTTTACTATTTGTGGGCCGTTTAAATAGTAAAAATTTTCAACATCTTACCCAAATAAATAATGCACTTATGCTTGTCAAAGTTTTCAACAATCTATGGCGAACCTCAACAGCGAAAGTTGCCATTCTCCGGTAGGTTTACGCACGCCGGAATATCTTGGATTTCTTAAGTTACAAGTCGTTCCCCGGTTTACGGGTGCGTGTATATCACCCGTACCCGTAAACCGGGGTATCTTAACCTCTCTAATATCACCAGCACGTAAGACTCGACAGTCGACTCGCAACTCGGCTTGATGTGACTTGTTAGAACTTACAAACTCTGGCAAAATTTACTCCTCCGCAGAGCCTTAAGATATATTACGTAATACTACTGAAAAAACAAACTACGTAATCATCTCGTCGTGCACCACTAAATGCCCTCTCCTATCCCTACGTTACCATTACAACTCCCTACTATCCCTACGTTACCATTTACATCCCTAACTATCCCTTGTTACCACTACAATATATTTTAATTTTAGACTCCGCGGAGGAGAGTGGGCAAATTTAACGTTACCCTGCGTATAGTAACAGTGTCTCGCAAAAAAATTAATGTTATCCTACATCATGACACACAGTGCAATAAAAAAATCATATGAAAATAGTCTTTATTTTTTACAAATAAATATAAACAATAACTTATAAATACAAAAACGCTATCAAAATATCTCTTTAAAACTACGCTCTATATGATAATTTAAAACCCTATATAACACAACGTTGAATTAACATGTTATTGCCTGGTTTAAAACTGGCTTTAAAAAGGAATGTTCCTAACATGTTACATTTTGTTTACTTTATAAAGTAAGTTCACACAATGATTTGTTAGGCCAATTTCAGATCCTCAGTAATGATATTTGAAGAAGACGTGGAAAACGTCATCCGATGACAACCCCAACTGAATATATTCGTCATTAACATTTAGCAAAACCCAAAACTGGCCTGACAAATACAAGGTGAACTTGCTAACAAGTGTTAAATTTCTATCCTGGATTATGGCTAAATCAGCTTAAAAATGAACACCAACGCCAAAAACATGAACGTCAACAATCTGAACCAAAATCTAACGATATGTCATTTTCCTTAAGTCGATATACAATTAGGACTATCGTTTTAAACATTATAAATAACATTTTAGCTATAATAATACTTCACATTTTTACAAATATATGTAAACTCTTTAACTCTTTCAAACTCTTTTTGAACCTAACTAACATAATGGATCTGAAGCATGGAAATATTTAAACAAAACCATTTGGAGTATGGATGTATGACGTAAGCTACCTGAAAAATAAAAATCTTCGACGTCTTGAGAGGTCTCGAAACTTCGTAGTTTTGCTACTGTTCAGGTAGTTGAATCATACATCCAAGCCCGCAAATACCCAATTTATTCGCATAATTTAAGATGGCTCCTTGCTATTTTCTGAAATATGAAAACTTCACGAGTTAGATTAAACTTTTTGAAGAAATGGTACTTGTTAGAAAACAAACATTGTCAGACCTGATATAAATATTCTAAGAGTCGAAAATTGGATGAACAATTACGACACTACTGTTGATATGGTAACAACGGCGATTTGTATATGGCCATTCTTTTGGTTTGTAATGCACTTCACTCGAGAAGTGCCTGTTAATGTTATCCCCATTTTTTATTTCATAAAACATTTTCGTCTACTTTTATAGATTATCTGAACGAGTTTAAAGAATTCTCTAGAGCCAAAAAGTGTTTAATGCGAAAAACCATGTTTATATTAATTTTCAAAAAATTTAGAGAGCCACCTTAAATACGTGTTCCATTCTGTGAATTAGATAACAGCGGGCATAAACATGCTTTGATAAGTCTCTAGAGGTTCGGTCACACGAGGGGACAAGTCGAAGGGCTGGCCGCATTGACAAATTACATCGCGTGTGACATAAGCGAAAATCTTGTCGCGTGGACAAAGTTCGTCAGTTGGACAACTAGAGTTCTTGTCGCCTGGAAATGTCACTCCGCGTGACTACAAATCCCCGGTGGTTACTCGAAAATCTCGTCCCCACGACCAGTCCCTGCAACTCGTGTGACCGAACGTTTAAGTAAAAAAGTTCATTAACTTTTAAGAACTAAATTTACTTTGAAAATCATGGACATCAGAACCATTTGACTGTACATATAACCATTGACTCCAATAGTACCATTGTTTTGGAAACCATAAAGTGGTCGGCACACACCACAACTGATCGCATACAGAAGGAAGTTATACACGATGTGGTATCTCACACGAACTGTACGTTAAACAGTACCATCACATGTCACCATACGAAGTACCAAACATCATACATCTACTGGTAACAAAAGTTCTCTCTCACCACGTAAACTTTTGATGATTTTATTCCTGTGACCAATCAGAGGAACGCCGATGCCAACTAGGTCACTGTCGGTCATATGTTGAATTTGATAAAGTTCTGTATAACCGAAATCGATAAAATTGTCGATATAACGGTCCATTTTTATGGCTTCCAAGTAATCTCGAATTGACTTCGCAACACAAGATTTGCGGTCAGCCATACGATCCCTGAAAAATATAAACACAATGAGTGTTTTCATATATATTCCCTGATGATGGTTTCAAAATTCACTTGAGGAAATCATTTTAAAAGTTGCAACAAAGATTGCTTCGTGGAACATGGCCGACAAGCTATTTTTACACATACTTTTCTGTGACGTATTGATAATCCTTCAGCAAGTATGGATTTCTTATCCATCTTTCCAACATCTCCACAATATCCGAGAACGAGGGACGCTGACTTCGATCTGCCTTCCAGCACTCCATCATCAGCTGATGAACTATCTTTGGACAATTCTAAACACCAAAGGAAGGCATTGTTCATGAAGACAACTTTTCCGTTTCAGGACAATACTACTGCATGGCAAGTGTTGGTGCTCATAATCAAGTGAGCTTGCACCCTTTTGTTCTACATGAGATTTATGTTCTCATTTAACACACCAATATTACTTTATGGCAATTATTAGTGTTCAAAATTGAGCTTGTATACGCTTTTGTTCTACATGAGATTTATGTTCTCATTGAGCTCACCAATACTGCTCTATGGCAAGTATTAGAAATAACGTTAGTCCCTAAAAGGTATTCACTTACCGTTGGAGCAAACAGTCTGTAGTTGGCCGTCACTTGGTCCATCACCTGAACGAATGTTGACAACAAAATAACATTACCAAATGTGATTCAAATGTGAAGGCAAAAAGTGAAAGAACAAATCGAAAGAAAAATATCAAAGTTGAAGCTTGGCTTACCATGTAGTTGTCCCAGTCACCATATGGCCTATCCGCATATGTCATGATTTCCCACAAGACAATCCCGAAGCTCCACACGTCGCTTGCCGTCGTGAAGCGACGGTGTTTATAAGCTTCGGGCGCGGTCCAACGTATGGGGATTTTCCCGCCCTAAAAAGAGCAATCTGGTTAGTATTTTGAAAACTATTGGACTTAGAATAGGACTTTATCGAAGGAATATCAACCAAGGAACAGCGCGCGCAACGCCTGGTGTGGTCTTCATTCTACAATGACGTGGAGGCAAGCGGATGTAGAAAGCCAGGACTAGGGCAGTCAGGTAGTTCACTCGCAATCACTACATGGTGAAGTGCAGTGTAACCAAATGTATGTTAACTTGTTGCACCTAACCATCCGCACGGGTAAGTTTTTTTTAACTGTAGTTGGTAATGAAGTCTAACACTTAAAATTTCATTGATTTATGGAACATTTGAAGGGTATGGGATATCGCCCTACCCTTACAGCATCCACCTGCTCTTCCATCTCCCATCTTGCCCTCAGACACCCTTTCCCCATTTCAGTTCGCTGTGGTACTAACCTGTGTGACATATTCTCCCTGACAAGACTCCTCAAGCTCGCGGGTCAATCCAAAATCTGCGACTTTGCACACCAGATTCTCATTTACCAACACGTTTCGTGCGGCGAGATCCTGAGAAAGGAAAACGATGCAACATTGTTTCATAATTGGTCACAATAAATAACAAAAGCAAGATAAAAACTTACCCGATGTACAAAGCGCATCTTTGCTAAATACTTCATACCGGAGGCGATGCCTCTGGCCATCACAAGGAGCTCGATCTCCGAGAACCGATTCTTGTTTTGCTAAGAGAAAAAAAGGATAAACGTGGGTTATATGTGATATACTTCGACATGGGAACAAAATACAACGTTAAAAGTGTAGATAACGCGTTATACTCACAACCAAGTAATCGCTCAGGGCGCCATTGTGCATGAATTCCGTTATTATCATCACTGGATGACCTGTGTGACAAAAAAGATTATCCTTGTTAGTTTTACTTGTACAAGCGGTTGTATTTCATGAAAATCTCAAAGGTCCTAGACTTGAAACCGGAACCTCCAAATTGCTAAGCTAACTGCCACTGAATTAGCTCAACGACAAGCAGTGAGGTATCATTGCAATCAACACGAAATGAAGATACTAGAAAACGATAAGCAGTTCTGTAACATATTAACGACCAGGGTCTTAGCTAGGATTTTAGATCTTGGGCGTGTTTCTAATGACCAGGGCGTGCACATTGCTTTACTTTGAATAGCAAAATCATGGCTCTAGTTATGCTCGCCAACAACAATGCCTGTGGTTGTTCTATGCTTTGCAACCAAATACAAGGCGAGCATACGCTCATATTGCGCACTGACAATTAAGTTATAATTTCAACAACTATTGGGGGTATTTAAAACCATTTTAACACCATACAGTTCCCATTATCCATCAAAACATTAAAACATCACGGATCACTTTTGCCAATTCAACAACAACAGTAGATTCTACAAACTTTCTTGACGTAAATAGGAAGAAATTCTGTCTGTTGTAAGTAGCACCACCTTATTTTATGAACCTATACACGGCCTTATATAAATAGTGAAGCCGCGTTCATTTTATCTAGCCGTGTTTTTCCACTTTTGGCCGCGATAACACGGCCAACACGGCCCTCTAGCTAAGACCCTGTTAACGACACAAATATTCCACTTACTGATAGTGACAACTCCTTCCAAGGCAACGATATTCAGATCTTTGAATTGGCCCATGACGGCTGCCTCAGTCAAAAAGTCTTCACGGTTTTTAGCAGTGGAACCAGGCTAGAATAAATGCACATTTCCTGTGATTACACAACTCATACAGAAACAATTTGGAAACATTCAAGTGTTGAGAGTTATAAAGATACCTCGCACGTGGGGGAACAGTTTCAACAGTAACTACAGAATAGTACAGTACGCTTCCATGGCTTGGTTTTGAACAGAAAACATTACTTTACATTCTTTACAAAGTCAGGTAAAATTACCTTTAGGACTTTCAAAGCAACAGGAACTGGCGGTTCATTGGGGCGGCATAACATTCCTTTGTGAACCTTTGCAAATTCACCTGTAAAAAGAAACGTCGTTAAAATAAGGAGGTGGTTTTGGACAGACATACTACATGATGACAAACTCAAGTAAATAATATGGTTCTTATGGGAAAAGGTAGTGAAATATTTTTCTATATGCAAGGTTGGTAAAAACAGCACTTGCACGCGTTCTACGTGAAATGCAGAACAAACGAAAGAATATTCCTACTGAATCCATTGAGTTTTGAAGGGAAACTATTTTATTTGTAGAATTATAAAGCGTCACTTTTAATGCAACCTTTTCCTAGCGAGAAAAACACATGTGACTACTTTAACTTGCCTTCTCCGATGAGTCCTTCCAATTTTATCTCACGTCTATCAATTTCCTTTGCAAATTTTCTCACTGCTTTCTCAGGATTGCCATATTTGTGTGGATCTACATAGGCTTGCGGACTGGTATTCATCGAATAACCTACAAAATAAAACACGATCATTGACACCCCATTTTATTTGAATTCCATGTATTGTTTTCTTTCTCAACTTCCCATCCTTTTCGCTATATCATCTTTCTACCACTGTACCCTCTTTCTATTGCACCCTCTTACTAGTGCACTCTCTTTCTATTTGTTCCTTTCACATATTAATCCACATAATCATCGATTATTACCTTCTTCATTATCAATTAATGTTTTCTTTTTGATACGTTTTCTGAATGAAAAACATCAGATCAATGAATTAGTTCTTCCATATTAATCCATACAGATGCACCTACACAGTAATCCTTCACATCACACATGCAGTGAAACACACCTCACACAAACACATATTATAACAATCATCATCTCAATACAAAACAATAGATACTGAAAAATTTATTTCGACGTTTCGACTAAACTATAGTCATCATCAGGAAATGAATGATGATGATATTACATATGTACAAGTATATATAGTGAAGTAACAAGATACGATTAGTTCAATATTAACAGATCTTTAGAGGCTTTAGATCTGTTAATATTTAACTAATCGTATCTTGTTACTTCACTATATATACTTGTACATATGTAATATCATCATTCATTTCCTGATGACTATAGTTTAGTCGAAACGTCGAAATAAATTTTTCAAAATGCTTTCAATTTTCGGACTATCTATTGTTTTGTATTTTATCAAGTGGTTCCCGTAATCATCTCAATAGAAGATTAACTTCAAAACCAGTAAAAACATACCTTCTTCTGTAAATCACAATGGCAATCAGAACCAGAATAAACAAGATAGCCCCAATGGCGATACCAATATACGGCGCTAGCTGAGAATTTGAACTTTCTTGTGCAGACGTTTTCCCCTCTTGCCCGTAAGTAGAAAACAACGTTGTACTAGGACGAACTGTCGGAGGCGTTGCTTCTCTTGTAACTTCAGGTGTATTACGATTGGGGATTGCCGATGTGCTCTCTTTACTTGTGACTTAACAAAGCAAAAGGTAAATAGATTAAAACAACAAGAAATACAAAGTACAAAATTAAGTACGAAGGAGGAAGAAGGCAAAACGTAGCTTCACAGAATATTCTATCAGCTTTTCTCATGCGATACGACTACTCAATTTGTATCATAATACATTAGACGTTTAATAATGGCTGGAATATATAGATTTTTTATACAAAAATTATGTGTACAATATCAGCAATTACCAGGCTTGATGTTCGCACTTCCGACGTCCGTTGGAGCATGGATCGCCGGTACAGCATTCCAAGCTACGTAAACATCAATAGTTGCTACATTCCATTCCTCCTTAATATGAACGCTGACGTTATTGAATGCAGCCACACTGAAAGTATAGTTGGTATTATTCATCAGACGTCCGATTTCCAGGGGTGAGGTGGTCACATTCATGCCACGTTCTCCCAAAGATAGATTTCTGCAATTTTCCCAATCACCACTAATCTCATAATATTCCTTGCAGGTCACACTGAAATGTAGGTCTGGATGGACAACGGTGTCGTTTTTCGATATATTCCAGTGAAGTTGGATCGTGTTGAAGGGGAGCCGGGTGTAACGTAGGTTCTTGGGCCTTGATGGAATAGCTAAAAGTGCAAGCAAGAAAGTATAAAGTGAAATATTATGTCAAACTACTGTCTGGGACGTACTGCTTGTTCCAAGCTTGTTGACAAGTTGTCAACAGCTTGTTGACAACTTCCTACAGAGTGTATGCTCAACAAAACTACAACAGACTTGTTACACTCAGTTGTTCCAACTTGTTAATGTTAACGTCCTACAATTCAACAACTTGTCAAGTTGTGAATAACAACCTGGTAGCAACTTGATAAGATGACAACATTATTACAACTTGTTGGCAAGTTTGCTACAAGCCTGTTGGGAACAGATCTTCCCAACAAGATGCGCGATCTTTACGTGTGCAATAATGCTCTAGACGTAAAAGACAGTTCAGTGATGTCAATACCATCGAAAAATCTTACCTTTGCATAGACCATTTTCGGAATAATGACGTTCCTTGCATTTACAGCTCGCACCACTCTTTTCACTCACAGTATTTTTAGGACAAGGAATGCAAGCATGCGTCCCTCTGTCCTTCTTGAAATAGTTTTCTTCACAAACTGAAATACGAAAATTAAGCGCTCGTTTATTATTTAACTTCCCAAATTCGAAGTAAACAAAGGACAGCTCCGGCATAAGTAAGATACAACTACCTGAAAAATATAACTTCGAAATTTTGCCAATATATTTTCAGGTAGTTGTATCCCCCTCAATCCACAGGTGTCCTGTTACCGTCGCTACCTACAATGGCACCGACAGCTCGAGATGACCTCTATACCGTACCTGTGCATGTATCATTAATAAGCTCAGTACCCGCACCACAATCATTCGTACAACCACCCTCTTTATCCTCCACCTTACTCCATTCACCATCACTACCACACTTTGCCACCACCACAGATCCCTTTTTTCCGCTTTGCTTGATTGAACAGTTCGCACTTGCTTCAAGGAATCCAGTACTTGGAGCTGCGGTTCTGGTCACCATTAACGTTTCATTTGTCGGGCAGACGTAATAGTAAATTCTAATCTTAAACACTTGTACACAAGCTCCAACCGCGTACAAAGTCAGATTCATGAAGTGATCGTCTTCGCTAAGATCATAATGTAAAGTTGCTTTAGTCTGGTTTTTCGTTTCAGCGTTACTCACACGATGTTTATTTACAACCAGCTTATCATCATTCTTCGTCTCAGAACTATTTTCCGATACCATCAAATTTGATAAAAGGAAGAAACCGCCCGATTTGCTAAATTTTTTTGTTAACTTATAGTCAATTTCAACAAAAACTCTCCTCGCATCCGCTAAGTTTATGTACTTCATGGGAAGTTTGGCATCGTTTTTTATAGCACACACAAACTTAGTGTTGCCATTTCCAGACCACTAAAAACAAAATAAAACTCAATGAATGTTCGAGTCAACTGTCAGTAATATACCACGTGAAACATCAGTACCAAATTGATAATTCATCATTGGTTTCAGTAAAAAATAAGGGCGAATACCAATAGTGGCAAGGTAACTTCAATAATAACGCCAGATTAAGTTCGCTGGTGCACCCAACATCCCTGAATCTCAAATCATGTGTAAATTAGCCAACCATATTGCTTTGTTTTGCTCACATGACAATACTGGATACCTGATGAGGTATATTGATCCAGTCCTAGGACTAGATCAAAATTCAGTCCTTGGACTGGATCAAAATTAATTCACCTCATTTTAAGTATGGATCTATTCGTACGAGAAGTCATTTCAAATCCTCCAATTTGGAATGGACTAGATTTCAAGCCCTCGCATTTTGAGCCAGTGCTCGGCTTCTCCTCGGACTTGAAATCTAGACCAGTCCTCATAGTCGGATTTGAAATATTTCTTCGAATACACAATATCCAGTGGTTTAACTTACGCCAATTCCATCTTCGTTGCCTCCACTACTGCTTTCATTGTCCCAAAGATTGCCTTTATTTATAAATTCTAAAAAATTGTGTAAAAATAAAACATGCTTAGGGTGGACTCTCAAATACAATTTTTCTATTGGGGCATGGTCATCCCAGTATCTGTTATTAAACGAGCCGTAATTCATAAGTAATTGACAACGGTATAGGCTTTAAAAGGTCTGAAAATTCAAGTCAGTCCTTTTTCAAGAATTTTTCGTGAAATATTCGCTATTTTGTTCGACATTGATGTGTGACTGTAGATGAGCCTGAATGATCCTATAGAACAAAAAACAATAGACACAAATTGTAAACATTTTTAATTCTTTACGTTTCGACTATAATTTAAGTCATCTTCAGAAGAATGCATTTGGGCATTCTTCTGAAGATGACTTAAATTATAGTCGAAACGTAAAGAATTAAAAATGTTTACAATTTTCGAAGTGTCTATTGTTTTGTGTTTTATTATTAAAATACTCTATGGCAACCGCAATTTTTGATCTTTTAGATGATGGTAGGTATGGTGGATTTTGGTAGAAGATGGTAAGAAGTTGATGCTATGGTAGATGATGTAAAGCATGGTAAATGATGATGGTAGATAATGTAAAGCATGGTAGATGATGATAGGTGATGTAAAGCATGGTAGATGTAATGGACTTGAACACAGGCTACGTAAATGACGATAGATGATGGTAGAGCATGGTAGACGATAGTAGGGCATGGTAGATAATGATGTTACAGCATGGTAGATGATGTTAGAACATAGTAGATGATGGTAGAACATGGTAGATGATAGTGCATGATGTTGGATGATCCTAAATGGTGTTAGGTGATGATAATGCTGAATAATGATGGTATGCAGACATGGTCCTAAGTGACACTACATGATACCATATATTATTGAAGGATGGAAAACTGAGAGGGACATAGAATTCGGATATTGGGATTTAGCAACTCAGTCGGATGCACTGATCTCCAAACTAGTGCTGGATAGAGAAAATCTGCTATGCATAGATGACACCAATGGTGGACTTATTGGCATGACCACCACTAATCTACAGTGGTGTTGCTGACATGTTAGGAGAGGTTCTTAAAGTTTTTGGTCAGTGATAGGAATAAAAATATACAAATAATGAATGTTTATTCGTGCAATGGTAAGAAAATTTTCATTCGGTGAAAGATGGAATGTTCCATTCAACGAGGTGACAGCCGAGTTGAATGGAACATTCCATCTTTCACCGAATGAAAATATTCTTACCATTGCACGAATAAAAACATTCATTATTTGTTTTATATAATACCAAAATAGACTAATATATTAAAAGGTTTACTGTAAGCTCCCGCCATTTTGACGAGTCGTATTTGCATTAAATCCCATTTACTGAGTTTCGAATATCGGGTTAAAAGAAACTGCGATCACCGTACGAGAAGCATTTTGACGGATGCGATTTATCGAAAACACACTGAGTGCAATGGAATAAAACGTATAGTACAATTGCACTCGCAAGAGTGCAATGGAACGTATTCCATTGCACTCCTGGGAAATGGAATTTTCTATTCAATATCACGTGACCATAAACAGCCAATTAAACGATCAGAATTCAATAAGGTATTATATAATATACAAATAATGAATGTTTATGAGTGCAATGGTAAGAATATTTTCATGAGGTGAAAGATGGAATGTTCCATTCAACGAGGCGACAGCCGAGTTGAATGGAACATTCCATCTTTCACCGAATGAAAATATTCTTACCATTGCACGAAGAAACATTCATTATTTGTTTTATATAATACCAAAAGTCCAGAACAGACTAATAGATTCGTATGAGAAGCATTTTGAGGGATGCGATTTATCGAAAACACAAAGAGTGCAATTGTACTATACGTTTTATTCCATTGCACTCGCGGAGAGTGCAATGGAACGTTCCATTGCACTCTTGGGAAATGGAATTTTCTATTCAATATCACGTGACCATAAACAGCCAATTAAACGATTAGAATTTAATAAGGTATTATATAATAGTTATTGGTGGCCTCTCTTCCTTATGAAATCTGACAGTGAATAATTAACAAGGTCATATCAAGATGACCACCTCAAGTCTCATGATATTGCAGTCATCTTTCAGTCATCCTATTTCAACCGCATCGTCAAGCTTTGGAACAAGACCATATTCTCGTTTCTCCTCCGAGAAACCTCTCTAGTTTATTGCTCTTTAAAAGGTCAATTAAGGACTTGTTTAAGTTGGAGCTGAATAGAACTTTTGACTTGTCGATGCCTTGTAGGCAATCAAGTAATCGTTAATGCGGACTTGTCAAACAGAGGCGAGTGATGATATTCCGCGATGTTTTATGAGTTATGTCATTCTACTATTTATCACTCGCTTCTGTTCGATTGTTTTGCTATTTTTGTGTGTTGTTTATTGTATTGTGATATATATAGTACAATGTGTCGTCCATATTTTCTATATTGTTGTGAGGGAGATGGGCATGGGTCGTAAAGTTGTTACCGTCCCGTTCGCACTTTCCCTTTTGGGCCATTTGTTTTTTATCTGTTTATATTGTGGTTCCAATAAAGTTGTTAAAATTAAAATTGCGTTTAAAAAACGTCTAAACCTCATCAGAAGGGGTGTGAGTAGCTATATCTTTCAAGTCACGTAGAGGAAGATATTGGCATAAGAGTATAACTAATTTCAACACGTAACAATTTTGATTCGTAAGGAATGTGACAGATTTAAAAATCCCTCCTCATCATAAATATTCTGCCATCTGGCTTCGAAACCAATTCCCTGAATTCAAAAGGTTGTTTTTCCTGTCCTGGTTCGGATGACTGGGATTGAGACACAATTTCGGCTGGAAAAATGGGATTGAAAGCTCCCCTAAATCTCAAACACAGTTTGTGATCAAATAAGCCAATGTTATGACATAAATAAATGCAATATATACCCAACACTTAATTGGATAGCACGCTTCACGTCACATCACAATTAACAGACACCTTATTCCAATAATGAAAGAATAAGAAGCCTCCCAAATCCATGCTGGGTCTTTATTACGAAAAATTACTTTGGACGGAAAAGATATTAGCATGTTTTATTAGTTTTGATTAGATTTCAGCTTAAAAATGCACCAGACGAAGAATTTACATGTCACTGCTTGTGAATTTCAACCGCAATTATGTTTCATTGCCACATACGAATTTGATGAAAGAAATCCACTAATTTCGCAACACGAATTAAAATTGGGAGAAGTAATAACTTGTAATGTACACTGTCACTGATTCCGTCACAGTAAATATTTATGAAAAATGACCAGAATGTACAGACATCGGTGGAAATTAACAAGTTTTCGTTGGTAGAATGGTAGGGATGTAACTACCTGAAAATAAAAAGGATAATTTCGACGTTTCGAGCGAAGGACCTTCGTCTGCATGCAGTAGCCAATACTTCAAATACTGGTAACTCCAGGCGAAGGGCGTTCGCTCGAAAAGTCGGAATTCTCTACCTTTTTTCTGGTAGTTGCATGCCTATAAACGAAAAACTTGTTATGTAATATATTGGCACTATACCCATACTGGCACAGACACAAAACTACAACTTGTGAAACAAAAATACGCTATCTACTTGTCTTGTACACGTAAAACGAAACTCATTTTCAACAATGACAACGTGCGAAACAGTTCTGGTGACACTAACAAGATTAGCGTAATCAAATTTTGACCAGCACGCTTTTGTAGAAGATTTGACATTTGTGCTTTGTTAAAACGTGTTTGAAAGAGGTTGTATATTTTTTACATTTTCATTCGGCAGTCTGTTGAAAGAATCTTCAAAACCAGCAACTTCATATTGATACTTGTATGGGTTTTTTTATCTCATCTACAACTCCAATGCCAGTTGGCATCTCGGAAGAATTTGATGACGAATGCGAAAGTCGAAAGGAATTTATCAATCAAACTGAAAGTGATAATCATTGATTATTCCTGCTGACTGGCACTTTTAGCAAAATAGTGTAAACAAAAAAGTAGAAAGTAAAAGTATTAAATTTCTGTATTAAAGTCCACCATATAATTTGTTTTTTGATTGATGTGTATTAGAAGAATTCAAAACGTGATGTTGCCTTCGGCTGAAAATCAGATTCGTTTAATTTAACGTTTTCAATCTTTTTAAGCCTTCCTGTTTCATATAGAGGATTATAGAACTGTGATCGACTCTTGTAAATCGGTAGTCCAAGGGCAAGTCAAGGGCAACGCCAGGTTTGAATACATATTATAGATTTGTTACGACTTATGGGCGCCCTATTTGTCTTACTATAGTATAGTCAACAAGTAGTATAGCGAAAAAAATGAAGAGCAAGTAAGCAGCAGGTTCTATTTAATCAACCTCGTTCCCAGAGGTTGAAACTGACCAAAGATGTTGGTTTTATTTTTAGAACATGCTATAAAAAACAAAACTAAGAATAATCTAGTTCCCATTTCATGGCGGAAAAACTGAAGAGGAAAGCTAGTGTGTTGTCGGCCAGCCTGTTGAATATATACCCGGAAAAAATCGAAACAGTTTGACTGAGTCTTTGTCTCTGATATTTTGACTTTATATGTAGTATTTGTAGATCTACACGAAATGTGTATCGACTCTTAATATAATCTAACCCCAAAATTATTTCCGAAGACGAAGTTCGCTACGAACGTCGGAACTTCGTCATGTAATAACCAATCAAATTGTCGGAACTTCGGAACGCACTTGCGAACTTCTCGCTACGAAGTTCGGAAGTTCGCAACAAAGTTCGCAACAAACTCGCTACAAAGTTCGTAAGTGCGTTACGAAGTACGTAGCCAACTTCGGAAATCACGAAGAAACGTCGGAAAGTGTTCGTCAACTGAAATTCTTAATATGAAATCATCTGTAATCCTATTCACGCTGACGAAGATGCCGTGGCAGACGTTTTTATGAACATTCGGTCTTTCCTTTGTGCTATAACTATATGTACTTATACTTGCTAATACCAGATAATTCTCTTTGCCAGTGGTAGAGCATACTGCGATTTAATTTATACATTTTTCAGACAAATGTGTTTACGTATCTCTGTTTAATAAAGAAAGCAGCCTATTTACTTTCCCACAGACAGACTTTATTACACAATATTGGCATTGCTTAAAACCATGTTAGGATCGATGAAAAATTCATCAGAGTTGGGGCTATCCATTACTCTAAGAATTTCACGTCGTTAACCACACAAAAAAACGCATGCTGTTTCAAACGGATACTGTATGAAACGCCTTTCGCGCAAAAAAATTCGATTCAAAACTAATTATTTTTCGAAGATGCTAGATGTCTGGTCTTTCAAAAGTTGCCGGAACTCGTATTTCAAAGTAACAATTAACTTTCACAATTTGCGCTAAACGACGCATTCGTAAAATCACGCGAAAAAAAATCGGTTGTTGTTTTGCTTGTGTTCACCATCCCGTCCTTAATAATTTATGAATACTTGACAAATTGTGTAATTTTTCTTCTCCGTTGGTGGCGCGACCTTGAAATTAAATTTATTCATGAACTTATCAACTTAGTCTAAGAACCAATCGATTTTCAAATATTTCTATAACTACACCGTCAAAGAGACGCGTTTTACTTTTGTTTATCAAAATACATCATCAACTAGGCACTTTGAAAATACTTAGAACCTGCCGGAGTAAATAATAGAACAAAGTTTTGATAGACTAACTTGTGTACATTATTTGACATCTGAAACCCGCAATTCAATCAAGTATAATTCCGTCCGATTCGATGAAATGTAAAAGAAACGAGATAAAAATAATTCCGAACGAGTTTTGTCGCAATTAGTAAGAATTTGTAGCCGATGAACATCAGAGCCTTTCAGCCACTTAACTGCTCTGCCAAGGTCATCCGAAACTGAATGAACAGAATAGAGATAGGGATTCTTTGTATAGATTCTTACATTTAATTTTCCCCTTTAAACAAACGCCCTGCTAGGTCGTTTTGAGCATATATAATTCAAGCCACAGCGTTTAATAAAAGCTCGGCTATTTTAGACCCCATCTTCCAACAGAGTTTAATAAATTCGCAAAGGAAATCATTTTAAACTCAGGAATTAGAACGCAAATTTTCATGGCGCCAGCTGTGTAAATAAGACTAAATATACAATGCTTACACAACGGGAATTTGGCACAACGCTGTTCCCTCGTTATTAGTTTTGTCAGGGGAATTCTAAAAGAGTGGGAATCGCCAAATACACACACGCACGTCCGTCGTGTTTGCCGCGAAAATACTGACGCCTGGTTTCCATCCCTCCATGTAAACAACATTCGTAGCAATCAACAAATTCTTAATACGGTGTTGACCCGTTATTAATTACTGTCTGAAGATTTTTAAAAAAGTAAGCAAAATAATTTATACAACTATACACCATAGTTCAAAAGATTAAAGATGGACATCGCAGTCCTCTTTTACGCCAAAATACCGCAATTTAAGACCGCACATTGAAGTCCAAGAACTTTCTTATAATCTTTTGAACCTGATTATTTTGAAGGATGGTATCAATTAATTTCGCCTCAACAAAACAGTGACCGCAAATAACCGATAATATATTGCAATGCCTTTTGTGTTTATACTTTTGAAAAGCTGAGATTACACTAGATTCATACACAATAATCATTAACAACGAGGCGATAATGTTAACCTATAGAATAGGCGTCAATGAGATTTATAGATTGAGCTAGGAAAATCCATTGGAATGACCAATCGCTCTGCTCTTTCATTATCCAAACAAAATGTTTGACCAAACTCGCTGTCAGTGTTACTATGTTTTGTAATGACACTAGAGCGTTGACATCGAATAGCATTCGGCAAAAACTCGATATAGCATTATTTGGGGCTTATTTGTTGACAGGGTACTTCGGCTACTTTTAGAATACAGACAATATTGGGTTCACAATTTCCGTTTGTGGGGGTATCTTTATTAATATTGGCTTTCAAGGCAAAGTATTGAAGTCGTTTTAGTGCGATTAAACCCCAAGCTCGAATAGTGATGATATTGATATAATAAATTTGTTACTTCTGGCCCCACAGCGTTTGATATTAAATGTATAGCAATGTAGTATACAGACTTCCCAAACACTAATACACGTGCGATATTTGGCAGTTGAAGGGCATCCATTCCCATATGAATATTGTATACGATTTCGCCTATTACGGTACAGTACCATCGCCATTTTAAACCTACCAATGCCAGGCAGTATACCAAACTATCAAATAGATGGTATTTTGAAAAACAGCGTTTAAATAAAGATCAACAATCGCCTAGCATAAAAGTGTTACATTTCGCGTCAGAAGTAAAGTAGATTAGAGTCGACTATATCGCGTATGTGAGTGGTTTTAACATGAACTAGAATCAAAGTATACCACGTCTTACCTTTCTCGGCGAAACACAGAGAATAGAACATGCAGAAAACCATTAAAATGTTCATCGTACCAAACGAAGTCATCTTGAACATCTTCCTGCCGACTCTAAACTTCACCCGGCAGCCTCGCATTCCAATGATTGCTGAATACGAAAGACGCTGACGTAAGCGTTGCTCGCGCGATGCGTGACTGACGGTTTTGACACCTACAGTGGCAAATTCTAAGCAACTATTAAAATTTTTGACATGTTTTGAAATTGCGTTTCCTTTTTAGCCTCGAGTTATTGACAGCGCCTCCACTTCGGATTTGTGTACAATTATTGGGTAACGATGAGTCCTGATATCACGAAACACAACCGCCCAGCGGCACAAACACTGCGGAATAATCTAGCCTAACTTCACGTCGCTAGGATGCATCCGTAAAACCGTAGGCCAATGCAAACAAGTCAACCTTTTTGTCATGCCGCTGAGCGCTAACTTAATATTCTTGACAGAGCTCTTAAGACTTATGCAACAAAGAAACTGGCGATTATGGGATTAATATGATATCCGTCTATTTGTTTGGAATGCCTGAGTTTTTTCTCTGGCGTTTTATTGAGCGGAAATTGGACGGACAAATTCTTCCTGACAAATGAAGCAAGGTGAATCGCTATGTAAAGTTTGCAAAGAATATTAAGCTTTTGCCAAAGCCCAATACAAGCCCAAACGTGAAGTGTTTTGAAATTTTCTTTTAGGTTTAATTTAATAGCTTTTCAATGAGAAATTTGAGATTTTGTTTGTAATAGGAAGGATCAAAACCAAAGCAAGGGTTTTGACTTATGGCTCAGTAGCCAACAGCGTGAATGCGTCGTAAAAATTATTATAATACGTTGCGCGTATAAATGCATAATTTTTTCAATGATCTGTAAGAGGTACGATTGCGCGTATTTCCTTCTCAAAACGTTAGTATGGTTTAATTTATGGTTTAAGTATGGTATAAAAAAGGAGCGTAGCCGGGTTTTTTTATGCGAAACTGGACTGCAAACTGAGAACTGGTGTATATTTGTATAACACACATCTCGTACAGCACACGTGTTTGATGAAAATTGTCAAGAGCAGTTTTCGCATGCAGTTATACTACACCTGTCTATACGAGTTGACGAAGCATCATGTAGTCACAGTGCTGTCACGCTGTGGTATTCCGAATATTGTTGTGTTCCACAAGCAAGGCCATAGCGACGGTGGGGAGGGGAGGGGGTGTAACTCCCCCCAATATTTGTTAATTTTCAACTTTTCAAACAATTTTATTGAGAATTCTACATGCAGTACAAGACAGGCAAAATAACCGGGACAAAATAAAGCACGAATGGGACACAAAGTCTCATGCAAGGTGCTGAATACAAACATCAATTAAAGTAGATTGACTGTTTTAAAAGTTTTATGACATGGACAGTCATGTATGCACTAATGTCCAAGTGCATAGCATGTCTATATGTCAAATGAAATCTTGTCGCAAGCAAGTTCCTGTGAGTATCTTTAAGGGTTCTTTTGAAGGAGAAGAGTTGGCAGGAGGCAGATGTTCAGAGGTGTAGTTTCATTGAATCTTGGGACGTTTTGCGGATAATTTGCAGAAAGGGCGTTTGGATCGTGGCTGAAGGGGATGGGTAGAGGCAGGTTTTCAAGATGGCCGCCAGTTTTTAAGATCATTAAAACGTAAAATAATCAACAACCAGCCACTTGCAACAATACTAAACCTCACCCACACGGGCCACACCCAATCCTAACCCCCATACCTGGAACCATCTCGTAAACTACCTCTCGTCCATTCCTTTTAGTCATTACTTTTTAAGTATGAGCGAAGGATTCTGACAGAGTTGTGTACGGCAGGGACGCCGGAACGATAATAGGGCAAAGGGGGGCGGACGCACACCAAGGGCACCTTTACTGAAAAATTTTGTTTCACTGCAAAATTTTTTGGCGACCTCCCCCCCCCCCGTCGCCAAAAAAATTTCGGTCAGTGTACCATTTTAGGGGTCAAAAATTTCCGTGAAGCCAAAAATTTTTCCGGATATCTTAAATTTTCGCCATTTCTTCAAAATATTTTTCTAAATTCCAAAAATTTCCCAAAATTTTTATAAATATAAACTATAAATTACCTGAATCTCGTGATTTTCCTACAAAAAGCATCGTTGGAAATGTGATTTATCACGTATTATTTTACAACTAAAAGGGCACTTCTGCCCCCCCCTGCCCCCCCTAGCAAAAGGCAAGGGGGCAGCCGCCCCCCCCTGCCCCCCAGTTCCGGCGTCCCTGGTGTACGGCTATTGTTCACATTTCTACCTTTACACCCCCACCCCCAACAGAAAAGTTCCAATCCTACGTCTCCACCTCCCTGACCCTGGGTTTCACTAAACACAATCGTACAACACAGTGAGTGGTCAAGCTGTAGACGCAGTTACCAGCAATTCGTTTCATTAATTTTTCGATATCCTTTTTCCTTTATATGGCTCTGACACATAAGGCAACCAGCCTCGTTTTCTTATATAATCATACTTCCAATTTCGTATCGGTTTCTTTTGATGAAAAATAGTTCTAAAACGTGTTTAATGTCTTGAATGGGCACCTTCCGGCAACAGCCCACCGTCTGGGTCTAAAAACAGGACATCCTTACTATTTTTAAGCTACCCTAAGGGGGAATACGAATGTACAAAGCCTTTTTAAGTTAAACGGTCCAATTTTATACTATCGATAACTAACTTAGTCCAGTCCTGGCCTAAATATGAACGATGTTGTTTTTAGTCGTCATACGATTCTTTCTTCTTCAAAATATTAAATTGTCTGCCAATACACTCGGTGTTACGCCGGCAGACAATCTTACTCAGTGACAGTGTCGTCCAGTCAATCGGGGAAGAGTCCTTGCAAAGTTATAATAACTCGGCCACTAGTATTGTTTAAGTCTAATTTTTCTAAAGTGAATCAAATTATAATGCCATGGAGACCAAAACAGGAACACATTAATACATTAGTGTTTAAAAGATAAACCGCGAAGAGTGCTCCTTAAAGACATTAAAATAATTTCATAATCCATCTTTTCAAAGAAGTGAAACTGGTGAGGAATGTGAAGTGGTTAATTGAATATTTGACTCCAAACCAAAGGAATCATAGCGTAGGTGTTGATATTTTCAGTAAAATATTTGTGATTTAATACAGAAACTATACAAAGAAACGACTTCGTTTGATCCTACAGTTGTAATCCTCATACACTATAGTCTATAGTTATGCTAAATTTACAATTTATTTCCTGAAACAGTCCCTGTGATTCTTTACAACCAATCCGCCTCCAACCTTTATGCCAAAGTTCTGTTTACACGACTTTATCTATATGTATAATCCACTGGATCATTTTCTTATAAAAATAAGGAAGACAAGGTAATTATACCACACACATTTCTCAGCAAGTGACCCGGTTGACCTACAGTGTAGTGCTTGAGCGAGCCTGAGTGCAGCACATTCATATCACAGCTGACTGTGAATTTTGTTATATCGGCTGGTGAATGTGTGGTCGTAGAGGGCCTGCTCGCAGGCAATAGAGTAGTCAATTAATGTCTGTACTGTACTGTACTGTACTGTAATGTTGTCTTTCTGTACAGCTTTATGCTGTATCAGTGAGGTCAATCTGAATGACCGTATCATACTAATGTGTTCGACATAATCATAGTTTAGATACATAATCTTCTTTGGACTAGCTTTTCGTTTGTTTTTCTTTCTGGCCGAAAAATGTTAATACAGACTTCAGTGTGTGTAAGTATGTAAAGTGCAAGAAACACAAATTTGAACTGACACAAGTCAAAATTTGATTTAATTTATATAAAACCGAGTCAAGATATGCGTAAAAACCAGGAATATAATTTGAATCCATCTTGAATTTTAAAAGTTCTTTTCTTTAGTGCTTATATTTTCTTTTAATTAACTGCCAGCTTGTATATAGTAAGGATGCATATTTTTCATTTTTATATAACATTAATACCATATGTAACCATTTCTTACCACAGATTACCACAAACAACAACATTAGATCAAAATTGACCAATCAACACGGCCATATTACCGACCACGCTTCGGGGTATAAAATGGTTCTGGGTAGGGATTCCGGAAACATAAAAACTATGGCGATGGTTGATGTCGGAGCTGGTAAATGGTTGATATCGCACCTATCACGTACGGTATCAGTTGAATCTTTTCTTTGCAATTTGCCTTGCTGACAGAAATTGACAAGTCGCGTGTATTTATTCGTTTGTTTGTTTGTTTGATAGTTTTTATAAATAGTGAGTTTGTTTTCCCTTTATTCGTTTGTTTTCTATACGTGTTTGTTTACGCAATTGTTTTTTCTTTGTTTGTTTGTTTTCTATTAAATTTGTTTGTTTATCCGCAAGTCCCCAAGTGTTGCTTTGTCCTTCTTCGACTTTCGTGTCCAACAAACTGAATTATATTATCAGTTCAAGACATCGTGGCAAACTTATCAGCAAAAATCAACGATATCATTTCGTGATATCAAAGTCTAGCCGTTAACCATGCTGTTGGGATGACATGTTGGGGGAGATAAAATGCCACTAAACTGCAGATAATTAATGCGTGATCACTCACAGGCTTTTGCAAAGTGCAAGCATGGAGGTCTATTATATAATAGAGTTTAAACTGCCTGAAAAAAGATTATACGGGGGGATTAGAAATAAATTATAGGAATTAATATTTTTCACTGAGGAATTTCAAACTTAGTCTGTAAGACTTAGACGTTTTTATTATTATGAAATATTTCCGCTTCAAATATCTCCCGGCAGTTGGAGATGTTGGACCTCATCTTTTTTGGAAGTTTTGAAGTAGAAACTAGAAAGCATATTTAAGAATGCAAAAATTGTACATTACTATACTAGTTATACTGACACAACTGTCCTGCATGTGCACCACAGACGTTCAGTCTAGTAGGAACGGATTTCTCTAGGCAGGGGTTTTCGGCATGAAATACATGAACTATGAACAAACATGCACAACAGATGTTGCGAAAGATTCTCGAAATTAATCTAAATTTTTTTAAACCGGTTTCTAATTTCTAAACACATTACAACATTTTTGGAATGACAAGTCTGGTAGTGGTAGGAACATGTCAATAGTCATGTTCATCATTCTCATTGTCAAGTTAACATAACTATTCCTTCATATTATACGAGTCCAAACTACACTGACTACCAAAAAATCTGTTGATGCGCCCATTGCGTGGGAAAGCAAGCTAAATTATAAAGTCTTGTCGGCATTCTTTCCTCATGTCTTTTGTGAAGAAGTATGTCAAGAATTTAATCTTGGTTAAAAATAACCGCTTGTTTGCTGAAGCTCTGACAAGCCGGAAATCAGGGGGTGCGGCCATGAATTCATTAAAATGAGGGGGTGTAAAGGTTGGCAAGCATTCGCTCAAGTTAATTTGTCTGTGCTCGGCGATATTGCATCGCTTGCCGCCTTTCCGATGGCATACACTTAGTAGCCAGGAAGGTGGAATAATAGTTGAACTAAAATACAGTTTGTTTTACATCAGGGGTCATTCTTAAGAAGAATTTAGAACTTCCTATTCCAACAAAGAGAACAAGGTACTGACCGAGGTACTGACTATAACCTGGGATTTCAGGGGACATGGTTCCCATGGGTCGGTTGCTCAAAGCCGCTCGGTTACCGCTAACCCTGGATTAAATCCGATAGCCGATAACCCGGTTCAGTTTTGGTTTGTGTATTTCTGCACTTCTCTTTGTTTTAAAACTGAATAAGAGAGTCTACAGACAAGATTTTCGGGAGATACAACTTTTACAAACAAGCCGTTGTTCCCACTTATTGCTTATTTGCTTCAACGTTTTTTTGTTAATCAATGATCATTAATGAAGAAAACCCGGCTTTCCTACAACTCGTCCCAGTAAAAATTGGAATTATAGAGATCGAAAATGGCCATTTAATTATCTTTTCAACCTGGCGTGGCTCGCACCCAGGGCATTTGCGAAGCCCAGCTGCCCAGGGTACGACGAGGTTGTTCTGTTTGGGATGAAATTTGGCTGCTTTTGCTTTAAATCTCTGTATGCAGGATATAGTACTTAAAGATGATGTCCACTCCTGTGCACATGCGCAAACTTTGTTTACGTTTTGAACAGCTATATTTGTAAAATATGATATACTAACTGAATATCTAACACTTTTCTGGTTCGCTATGCTTGTAAATGAATATAAACTCTACGTTTCAATTCAAAAAAGTTCGAAAGATGCAAAATTTGGGAAATGTTTATGTCTGGGGGTCTCCCTTTGTTATGAGCAGAACGGATGCGCAGAACGGAGTGGAAATCATCTTTAATGCTTAATTATAGACTGCTTAATTATTCACGTTTACTGCTTTGGGATGTCAGTCAATGACCCCTGTTTTACTGCAATAGATCAAACTTGAAAATTACGAGCATTTAAAGGTTCCAACTCATGTCAAATGTCGTCAAATGCTTTTGACAACATTGAAGTGTCACCAATTTTTTATCATTGACTTTAATACATGCAATCAATTCTGCAACGCGTCACAACAATGGGATGTTCTATGTATTTCGATACAACCATCTCTTTATAACCAGTTGTGTGCATGCAGGGAGTCGGTCCAAATGTACAATACCCACAGGCAAGGAACTAATTTTGAAAGTTGTTTGGCGACAAACGTTTTCTTCAATACAAGTTGCCGAAACATGTTGTTACACCCAATGAAAGGCATTTTTTCTTTTTCAATTCACCGTTCATGATCGCAATTTTCCTAAGAGAAAGCGGTGGGAAAATAACCTGAAAGCATGGCGGTACGTCCGTACGTGATGAATTAGCACTACTTAGTGGTATAATTACTACATCCATTAACTGTATTGAGGTCATGATACGGAAGAAGATAATTGTACAGCAATTCAGTGCCAGCTAGTAGAAGTTATGTCATAGTCATAATTAAAACATGTCTGTATTTCTGTTCGTTCGTGTGTCTCTTCATGGCGCTATAACTATAAGTGAATACATTATAGAATATCAGGAAAGTGCCGGTAAAATGTACATCATGCTGACCTGTCATCTTACTTCTAATACAGCAAACATACAAGGAAATGTATAATTTTTCTTTGTTCTTTATAATTTCTTTGTGCATGTGATTCTGCGCTTATTATTTTATCGGCGTGTGAATGACTCCGATAAAATTTCACAACAGAACAAGAATCGGTACTGACTCACTGTAATAGTAAACTTGAACCATTGGTTCACACAAGAACAATTTTTGAATGATACAATAGACTGATACAATATTACAATTAACTAGTTTTACCAAACGAAAGAGAAAATACAAATTTTCAGAGCACGGTAAATGAGAGAGTATATATTTCCTGGTAAGATTGCTTACCAAAGGGTAAATGCCAATGGCAACGAGACAATGAGACTATATCCTTTGTGTTTCACCGACTTTTATGTTTGAAAAGTGAACTTTCAGGTTAGGTTATTAGCTCGTTTCTTGTAGTACGTGCTTAGTTTTGGAAATTCAGCTGATGTATTTCTGAAAACCATATACGGATATCATCAAATAGGAATTTAGGGTATTAATAGTGACGCAAGTGATACAAGATTGTTCTCAGCGGGATCCAGCTAGGGCGGGAACCATGATGCAAGATATTCAAAGCATTATATCAGCGTCGTCCCTGGCGCTTTGATGTGCTTACTGGTTGCGTGACGCACGCGCGGAAAGCGCCGGGGACGAGGCTGGCATTATATTTTTAGGAGGTCAAATTTCTTGCTACCCCACACGTTTCATACGTCATATATATTTTCCCATTTTCTCAGCCCACGTCCTGCGACTTCTTAAAATATCATGGTCACTTCGTTCCGTTTGCCACTGCCAAAATTTCATTTCTTTATTGATTTCTTTATTGATTTATTTACCTTAAATTTGCCCAAAATATAAGGAGACCGCGTACTAGAACTCGTTTTACTTAAGATCCCAAATTAAATTATTTTAAAAGTTTAAGTATAAATATGATCAATTTGACAGTTTGCGATAATGGCTAGGTGTTATTTAGTTAACAATAAAAAAGATAATATAGCTACGGTTTTAGGCATTTGATTAGAGAGGTACATATTTGGGAATTGGGATATTAAAGGGTGCTGTAGTCACGAGCGGTACATCATGCAGATGCATCTGATGAACTATAGCGATTTATGGAAGATAGTTGCATTATAAAAACGCGCAGTATATACAATGGAGTATTGGGTTACTTTATTATACCGCGGCTATATTAAAGTATCTGTTTTCGGCATGGCCTATAGCCACGGTTTTGCAGCAAAGCCTCATTTAGGTATTAATGTGCTGTAGCTTCATGAGCGGTATCTCAGTTGTATGCCGGTTTCGCTATACTTTATAGTAAGAAATTTGCGTCTTTTGATAGCAAGCAAGCAAAAAATTTGAAGTTAAAGTTACTATACATGTAACTGTATACTGTATTTGTAGTTCTTGATTTTATGTATATATAACTTATTTATGATAAATTGCAAAAGTTGTACAGCTAGTATAGCTATAGAATTAGGACCTTCATTTTACAGGACCATTCTGAAAATTACTTCTGTGAAAATGCCTCCTGAATAAAGATTGTTATCATCATCATCAACGTCAACTATATATTTATACTTTTACATGAGTCAGTGGTGATATTTTTCTAGTGCAAGCCAAGAAGACCTATAGCGATCATGTGGGCGCAGGCTTCTGTTATGGCAACTATACGCAATAATGCTCATGGCAACCACATTTTTACCACCATTAAATATATTGAGTATTCAATTAATCAAAACATTCATTGAATATTATCTGTAATCCGACATAAAAATTGGCACTTTTCAATGGGGATATACTGTATAGGAGGAAGCTATCTATAATCCTGAAGAAATATGCCATCTTCAGGATGCAATATACAAAGTTTTGATGAGATTGTACATTTTGTGTTAAATTCATATTTGTCGAAATCTGTTTCGGTGTATATTTTTATAATTAGGATATGGTACATGGAAGCAAGGAAGTGTTTGCACCATCATGTGTTAATTCCAAAAGCAAGGAAGTGTTTGCACCATCATGTGTTAATTCCAGCTATTTACACATCTTCAAACAGCTTAACCGCGAAAGTATTAAACCAAACATCCTGATCAATCTAAGGCAGTAGCCAATCAAATCGCTGGTTTATCAAACATGCAAGTTCTCGTTTACGAAATGTCATCAGGTGGAATTTGCATTTGAAGTGTTTGAATTTTTCAAGTTCCAAGATGTTGTCGCGTTATATTATTATCGTGATTGAGGATTAAAAGAAACGACACTTCTGAGGCCATTGGCATTGCATGACCATGTTATGCCAACGCTTTCAAATTAAATAATTCTAATTCGGCCTTGTTTCATGAGATCACAATATTTTTGCCGCAAAACAAATGGTATGTAAATTATTTTCTGAATAAATTGTGTATATAAAAATGTATAAGCTAGTCGTTTTACTTTGAATTGTGGCTACCTATGGGGGTACAAATCTACCATGGCAACTGACTAGCTAATTTGTCATGCCACACCCTAATTTGCGTGCACACTGCACCAATATCTAATTAGATCTCGCCTAACTCTTAATGACTGCTTGAAAGTAAATACAAAAGTCTTCTTTAAGCTCTCCATTGGTATATCCAAGGCCAATACTACATCTAGAGATGGCAACGTTGTAGGTGCTTACAATAACCTGTAGGCGCCAATTATGTTTATTATTGTTATATTTGGAGAATTTGAGTATAACGTCTTAGTATATATATAGTACTATAGATTGCTCTGAAAATGATTTTCAAAGCAGGTTTATATAGCATCTAGGCCTATGTAGAAAAATGTTGTTCCTTTCTTGTGCCATTGTCTATAGAGTTAATTTATAATATACGAAATATTACTTTGCTACACTATAATATTAGTCCAGTCAAATCACTATAAGTACATGGTCCTGATCAAAGTAATCGCAATAGATTTTTTTTTCAGTGGTAAAGTGTGAGAAAAGTTGTTCTGATTAACATACTAAAAATAAAAAAAAATCCCTTCGGTGGAACATGGTGAAAATCGAGTTTTTCTTACTTCTACCTATGGAAAACCATTGTGGACAGAATGTTGAAATTTTGAAATCATTTCTAGGCAAATGTAACCTACATTATTGGAAAGCTTAGAAAAAACTAAAATATAGATCATTCAGAAACGGCTATCTTGCTTTTGCCTATCCAGCCGAAGTTATACAAGATTTAAAATGCCAAAAATTTGTATTTTGTGCAAATTTTGCGCTATTTTTCCAACTTTGAGCTAGAATAACGACAAACTGACCAGTAAATTGAATATAACCGTTTAATGATCTATATTTTAGTTTTTTCTAAGCTTTCCAATAGTGTAGGTTACATTTGCCTAAAAATGATTTCAAAATTTGAACATTCTGTCCACAATGGTTTTCTATAGGTAAAAGGAAAAAAACCTCGATTTTCACCATGTTCCACCGAAGGGATTTTTTGGGATTTTTAGTATGTTAATCAGGACACCTTCCCTCACATTTTAGCACTGAAAAATATTCTATTGCAATTTCTTTGACCTCTGGTCACAGATTGACTGGACTATATGGAGAAAATATAAAAATACCATTAATGTATATTTGACCAATTCTAATGGCAAACCTAGCATATATGAAAGGACGTGAATTCACTGATATATGTAGCCTTATAAGCTTTGCGGAATAAAAACGCGGTATTTTAATACCACAAAAACAAATCAATTAAATAAGGAACTATATATATCATTTATCACCATGCAAACCTCAATACAAGGAAAAATCTTTACTGAGATCTAATTGCTTATTAAAAAAATTTGCTGACCTAGGTTCTATATAGACGTCAATTAAGAATTTTGACTACGACCAACGCAAACATAGCTATCCCAAATTTCCGCATGTGAACAATACACGGCATAACTGAAAGCTTTATCTCTATTTTATCCGCACTTTCAAACTTCCTTTTCAAAGCAATTATCCGATCATATCTTGCCTTTGTGGTTTTAATGTTTACAGGGAGTACAATGGTCTAACACGATCGAAGGTAAACACTGAACCCGACTCTATTTGATTTGGCGTGCTTTTGGTTAATGAGGGATCTGTTTCCATTCATTTTAAGGAAATAAACATTTTATTTCAAAGCTTGAAAGTGCGTCAATACGACTGAATAATTTTTCAGTCAAACCGATTTGTGACTAATTGTTTGCCAGCAGAGACGACATGGCTGAAATGGGCTGGTCACTCCGTTTAGTATAAAACTATAGAGAATGGATGATAAATGATATGTTTATAGCCAAACTAAAGGCAGTCATTTGTATATAAGCACAACAAAATTATAAATATTGCCATGAGCAAGGGAGTGTTTATAATAAAATGGATGTTATTTGTCCATAACGGGAACAAATGCAGTATTGTGCCAAAGCTACATAATTATTAGAAGCATACCATAGGTTTACATCATGGCATGCAATTATTTAAAAAAATGAGGAGTGGCCCTATTATATATAGATTTGTATATATAGACTATAGTATGCAGTGACCAAAAAATTTAATCAAGATTAAGATCTGGACTTTCCACACTCAATCCATCAGAGCAAAAGTGAATCAAACAATGAAACCTTGACCTTGTCGTATACTAGTATACAGTCATGCAAACTAAAGCGGGCATGCAAACGATCCGAGGCAGAGGCCAGAGTACATGTTCGAAACACACTATTTAACTTCATATATTCTATCAAATCTAAAATAAAAGTATCGCTAAATATTATGTAAATCAACGTTCTAGTTCCTTCTTCCTTCGAACTTTTTGCGATCACTATATATTAGCAATATGACGCACAATTACTATTACAGTATTAGATTTGCATGCTTCAACTGAGATAAATAGCTATATGCAATATAGTATATACTTTCTCATCTTACCTTGGGCTTGGGTCAGGACAAACTATGCCGGCTATGGGAAATTTAATCATATACATGTTGGTGCTATATGAAACTCAATTCAGTTGATGAGCAAAAAAATACATAACTCATAAGGCAAAATTTAAGAGAAAATTGAAATAGAATGATATTGATTCAATGATTCATATATTGAAAACTAAATTATAAATTTTAAATTTAAGGGAATCTTCGCGGATTGATATACCTTAAAAATGGAAGGAGAACTTCGACGTTTCGAGCGAATTGGCCTTCCTTCGAGAAGTAAGGCCATTTTAGTTGGCCATTCATGACAGTAAAAGTAAAATTGTTTAGAGTATAATTTCTATTTTGTAAATTTTTTTCTCGAATGGTAATAAAGTTTCTTCTTCTTCTTAAAGTCGTCTCGACGGTTTCTTCAAAGTATCAAATAACAATGACAATGTATTTAATAGTCAAATATTCGCAAATAATTTTCGAGACTGCTTTTAATTTAAAAAAACCAATTAAAAGACTGAAACAATTATTCTAACCAGTCAATTGATAAATTATAAAAAAAAATTACTTTCGACCACTTAAGTTCATATTAATCCTTCTATAAACAGTTTGTACTAGAAACAGTTTAGGTTTCGATCTTTTGAATAAGGAAACAAATATTGAAGTTTAAAATAACTATATATACTTATTAAATATGTAGCCTGTACATGTATAGGCGTAATATGCTATACATTTAAATATAATATATATTAAAACGAAAACAATTCACATTCACACAGGCTGTCACAGAAACACCAGACACTTTGATTGTCTTGTCTGGCTTGTGAGTTGTGGTGCGATATTTTCATGCCACCAGCAGGACACCATCCCGCCTTTTCCCAAAACTATGCAACAGAGCTACGTGCTTCTCAAAACACCCAAAACCGTGTAACCGAGCAACGAAATAAATATGTCTACGTGCATGTGTGTCTGGCTGCTTACCACTTTCAACTTAATTAATTAAATCAGCGTTCAATTCAAACAATTTTAAGAATGTCGAGTCTTTTAGCGGCAATTATAAAACTAGCAGGAGTCTGAGATAGCAGCAGGGTGATTAATTCATAAAGAACTTCTAGAAAGATCAAGGAGGATGATAAAAGATTCTGACAAATTCTGAAGACAAACATTGTCTAAAAATGGAAATGTAATGAGCGGAATTCGTTTTCAATCATAGTGATTTTGACATTATCAGCAACATTGCAGATGTATGCTTTTGGCATGCAACATGTTTATATAAATTTAGACTATAAAGAAATTTAATTTCGCGATTGTAAAAAAGTCGCGAAAATAAAGTCTCACGAAATTAAGTACGCGCGAAATTAATTAGTACGAATAACGTGGCCGAGTTAGACTTTAGCCTGCGTGGCAGACCCTCAGTTTTATGGGGGCCTGATTTGCAACGGGCAGGATTGCCCGCTAAAATCCTGCCCGTTGCAAATCAGGCCCCCCCCCCATAAAACTGAGGGCCTACCACGCAGGCTAATTTAGACTACACAACTTTTACCTAAAACTGTCGCATGCAACCTGCTTACAACTCGAGTTGTACTGTGTAAATCCAACACACAACTCACCTGCGTTGTCGTATATGTAAGATGAGCCGCAAGTACAGGATCTTATTTTTGGTACATGTATACATGGCATATCATTGGCACATATCAGTGGCATAAACAGATCAGTGGTTGGGCAAGACCTCTTTATGCTGTCGCCTCTGTTCTGTACGAAATAACTCAAATAAGGAAAGTAGTTTTAATTCTATTCTTCTCACAATCTATACTTCAAATGAGGACTCTGCTGCTGTTTTTAATATATAAAACAGATAAAGGCGCTATAAATGAAGGCATATATATATTTCAAACACTCATTAATAGGGCATAAGTTTATTAGCCATTTTCCAACCGAGCAGAGGACTGGGTCTAGTTGATGTTTGGAGGGACGTTTGGAGGTTTGGAGGGACAACCAATCTCGTTCCCCGAGCCTGCGATTCTCGGGGAGGAACACGAGGCTCTGGGATAATCCGTTTCAGGGAGGAATCTGCTTGGCCGTTGAAATGGAATGCGTAGTTCAATCTTAGCCAGGATTCCTGGCTTCCGGCAACGGATTATCCCAGAACCTCGCGTTCCTTCCCGAGGATCGCAGGCTCGGGGAACGAGATTGGAAGGACAACAAGTTATAGTCGGTGAGCTAAATATACATCAAAAGATACCTCATTATAATTGTTGCGTTTCAGGCTGCACAAATAACTTTAGGAATGTAGGAAACGTCCTAGATGCCATATTTTTTATTTTTTGTCCCTCCAAACAAGCGACTAGACCCAGTCCTCTGGTCGATTGGGAAATGGCTAATTGGCAAATCATGTCGACCGTATGTCACGTGAAGAGTCATCCTCGTACCCAGGGTCTTTTGGGGAAAGAAATTTCTTTCCCATCAGGTGGAAAGTCCCTGCAACGGAGGTTGGTGAAGAGTCGGAAGAGGCTAAATACCTGATAACACTCATCTTCATTAATATTCTTTATATAAAAGTCCATTCTAATTAATATTCTTTGTATAAATAATTATTGATCTATTGTAGTCATGTTTGAAGCTATTCAAAACACTTGTAGTCGTGTTTTATCGTATGAAAATGCTCGTACTAAAATGTACTCGCATTTTAAATATGATAAAACACCCCTACGGCTGCGCGTGTTTTAAACAGTACACTAGTAAAGAAAGCCCAGAAATTTTGCGGAGGAAAGTATATATAGAGCTTGGCAAGTGAAAGCATGCACGAAAGTTTTAGTTTAAAATTCAAAATTTATATTTGAAATGAGAACTCTTAATGTTTTATATAAAACAGATAAAAGAAATCAAGGAGTATATAGAGTTGTAAAGGTGTATACATGCAGTTGTAAAGAAAGCCCAGAAATTTTGCAGAGAGATCTTTGCCGGGCTTCGTGTCGGCATCAACATTAAAGGAAATACGTTGTTATAACATAAATGAACTTCTTTTTTGCTATAGAACATTAGAATTATTTAATTTTATAATTTGACAAAGACACCTCTCCATTTATAAGACAGTCTTATAAATGATAAGTCGTTAATCATAATTTCATTTTTGCAACTTATTATCCCAGTTAATGATCTGTGCTGACGGCGCGAAGTCCCATGACACTGCCCACAAATAATTAACTTTTATATAAATAACCACTATTAAATAACGAATTATAATTATTTGAACATTCTTTCCATTTAAATCATTCAAAACTAAAGAATTTTATGGTTTTGGACTGATAATTAAAGCCAATTTTAAAATTTGAATACAATGCAAGTTTTATTGACTTCTTTTTATAGGTTAAGTGCTATGCTTGTTCATATACGATTATCATTTAAAAATAAAAAAGATCATTTTCAACATTCTTCAGCTCCATCTAAAACATTCACACCTGATATTTATAAGACCAATTTTCAATTTTTTATTGTTATTCACGTGTTAATTATTATCAATTCTTATTTTGAGTATATATAATATTTCGAAGTACCCCCATTTTATATTCTATTTATTTTAATGTATTATTATTATTCAATCTTATATTCAGGCACGATATAGCCTTTCATTACAAAAATGATTTTCAAAGGGCCTTGCATGCATTAAGGTAGACAACAAATTTAAAAAGATAAAAAAAGAAGATGCCACCGTTTCCCTTCCGAGGTCTGATCATTAATATTAAAGGAGGCATTGAAACCCCCTCCAAGGAAGAAACCAGCAGAATCTATCCCGAACTACTTATACAGATAATTTACTATTATTGTATTAATATAGAGGTTCAAAGATCTACAAGAACTGGCAAAAATTATGTCATGCACTGTCACGGCTGCTATTTCCAATGAAGTTGACTTTGGGCTGTAGTTTTAATGTAACGGTTCGACATGGACACAAAACGTTTTTGGAATGGCAAATTTTTGAAAGCCATTTCATATTTTAAAGTTCCTTGGCAACATCTTGACGCATGCATGTATATTAATTTGCCAACGTATAGTTTAAACGCCTTGACAACACGCCTCGCAGGATATCAGAAGTGTTCCTATCAGTAAAATTCTAAACCAAACTTCCGAACATAAATCATAATTAATAGGTTGGGACTTTTGGCATCTAATGACTAATGCTACTCCTTTGGCAACTCTTGGGAAGCAAAGAGCAAAGAGCCTGGGAACGAGGTTGCTCTTTTGGCTAATGGTAAAACACGATCTCAATTGTCTTTATGACCTCCAGCTGTTTAAATTGCGTTGTACGCCTTTCTGTTAAAGGCTGCTTTCCAGTGAAGCGTTTTTCATACATATGTACACGTTGAAGAGTTCTTATGTCTTAAAAATTAAATGAATGAAAGAACAACATTTAGTTTTGTATATGATTTCAAGGGGTCAAAAATTTTTTCCGGACATACCAACATTTTCCGTTAAGTTAAAAAATTTTTCTAATTTCCAAAAATTTTCTAAAATTTTTGTAAATTTTCTAAAATTTTTGTAAATTAAACCCATTCTTTACCAAATTCACAATTATTTTTGTTAATTTACTTTCTCTGGGCCTATAAATTACCTGAATCTCATGATTTTCCCCAAAAAAGCATCACTGGAAATGTGATTTATCACGTAGTATTTTACAACTAAAAGGGCACTTCTGCCCCCCTGCCCCCCCTAGCAAAAGGCAAGGGGGGCAGCCGCCCCCCCTGCCCCCCAGTTCCGGCGTTCCTGTCCGTGGGTACACGTTCGTATATGAAAACACTTAACTGGAAAGCAATCTTTATTGTATTTTTTATTTATACTTATTTTAACATATAAATTATGTTCCTATATAGTCTATAGACATAATTTACAGCCATGCTTTATACAGTGTTTCAAATTATAAAACTTATTGTAAATAATTTATAATCATTCCTAATCTATGATAAATAATTAATAAATCATCCAAACAAGACATCTAACCGTCTGGTATAGCAGTGCCACAATTTCCATGGTACACATTCACGTATCCCTCACAATTGTGGTACAAATGAAATACCCTTTCATATCCCTTATCCTTCCACCATGTACACAACTGTCTGTTCCACGTACATGGTAGGACGTACAGCAATTCTGGATGCTCAAAACTCAGCAGAGTGTAAAAACATTGGTCACCTAAATGTCCTTTGAAAAAATACTTCTCACTCAGTTGTCTTATACGAGTTGGGTCTGAAAGGTACTCCTTATATAAACTTGAGTTCCTAATTCTTTGCAGATGCATAAGTAAGACCCCACTGTTGAATCCTGGTTTACCATGAGGAAGTGGTGCCCCGATTTTGGTGTTGGGGTGAGCACTTCGGTACCGATACATAGTGTGCTTGTACACAGGTTGAAGTTCATGTGCGATGCCTATCACGTTGCTTGGAGAAAAGTCTTCAAATTTATTCCAAAGTTTTCGAATGTCAGTTCGGAATTTGAGATCTGCGTCCAGGATGATTAGTTTTGAGATGTGTGGAAATAAAGTGTGACTGATGATTGATAGAAAGAACAGGGCGCCACTAAAGTACGATTTCGGATTACTGGTGAATAAATCCTAAATGAATGAGAAGAAAATATTGACAGGTTGATTCAAGCTGACGTAAGTAAATCAGTTAAGCCAAGATATATTGTAGGCTACATTGCATGATATTAAGCTTTCGCCGTTGGCCCTTCGTCTGGAGTTACTAACCAAACATTGCATGATCACTAAATAGGCTTTACACCTTTTTTTTACATGCCAGACAATTGACTGGCAAGAAAATGTTTACCCTGGGTTCAAGTTTATAATAACATTAAAACTTCCCAACTCTTTAATATTGTCAGGTATTTACTAACACTATTTGATCACGAACCAATCCAAAATGTACAATAGAAATGAGAGTATATAAAACTTCCCAACTCTTTAATATTGTCAGGTATTTATTAACACTATTTGATCACGAACCAATCCAAAATGTACATTAGAAATGAGAATATATTAATACACATGCTTTGAACTGGTCAGAATTCTCCCACAAATTGATTTTACTTCACAATCCAGAAGACCAAGGGAATATTATCTGCTGCAGGAGTGTTAGAATTCAAGCTCACCTTAAAAACTTCCATGAGTGGTTCAAGTTCTCGAGCGACAAAACCAATATCATGATACTGCACATGAACTTTATCCTTACATAATTCTTTCTTCAACTCTCCAATCACTCTGTCTGCCTGTCCTTGGCTTCTGTTATCAGTGACGACGTGAAGTGTTATAGCAATGCTACTGTGTTCGCAAATTGAAGATAAACAAACGTGAAAATCACGAACGATTTTTGGATGTTGATCCAGGTTTACCAAGGGGATCAGAACATCCCATGTGGTATTTTCTTTATTCGTCTTTGGAGATGATTTTATGTCATGTTTAATGTTTTCTCCTTAAAGTTAAAATAATAAAATATTTTTTACTATTACAAGTATAGTGTATAACGGTAATAGTGTGTATGTGTTTAAATTTACTCGAGTTTAAATTTTGATTTGCATCACGCATATATTGTCTTTAATGACTTTATTTAATACTGTTTGAAAGTTCTGATAATTTTAAGATTTTAGGTCATATTATATACATGAATGTAATACAATATAAAATGAATGAAAAATGAATGTAATGTAATATACATTTATGGCAGGAATTTGGGACTTATTAGTCCTGTTGTCTGTGCCTTCAATTTCGTATTGTAAAACTAATAAAAAAAAATGTGGCTTAATTAAAGTTATGAGTTGCAATATCCAACACAGACAAGTAGTTGATAAATGGTATATTGTATAATGGATAGTATATAGCCCTATATTTTCTGTATATTCTGCTGTATTTCTGCACTAGGTAGAAATCTTCTGGCAAGTGAATGAGCCAAACCGCGCAAGCAAATAATTCTGCCTGCCGTGGCTGGATTTCGAACTTGCGACGCTCTTTCAACTGTGCTACACGGTCAGGTCCGATTGAGGACTGGATATGAACTTTATACTGAATATCACTCAATCTCGTTCCCCGAGCCTGCGATCCTTGGTAAGGAGCCTGCGATCCTTGGGAAGGAACGTGAGGCTCTGGGATAATCCGTTTCAGGGAGGAATCTGATTGGCCGTTGATATGGAATGCGCAGTTCGGTCTTTAGCCAGGATTCCTGGCTTCCGGCAACGGATTATCCCAGAGCCTCTACGTTTCTTCCTGAAGATCGCAGGCTCGGGGAACGAGATTGAATATCACTATATAATTATTTATAATGTTTTAGTCGTTTTATATATCAATTCAACATCAAACTACACCAATGTATACATGTACTTTATTTACCCTCAATTTACAGCTTTAAATATCATCGAGCAAAATAAATAAATACTTTGAATACATACAGTACATTAATATACTACATACATCAACATAGCATAGCATAGTCATAGACATTCTAGTATTAAATCTGGACACAAGTATTATATAACTACAAATGATTTAATACTTACTTGCATTTCTTGAATTCTCCAAGCTCTTCTGTTGCAGAGAGTAAACAAACCACAGTGCCGTTACAGACAGTACAGCAAGTACTTTGAGTCCTCGACAAGAAAAGCGAAACATAACTCGGCTTGATATTCTATTTGTCACATTTTTTACACACTATATCTGTAGAGCATTTAGGAGAAGAGTTTGCAACGCTTCCTTGGATCTAAAATGCACTTGGTATGCCCAAACATACTGCCCAAATTTAAACAATAAAGCAATAGCCACCAGCAAAATACATGGAAATTTAATATTTTGAAATTGGAAACCATTAAAACCCGATTTGTATAATACTCCAAACGGCAGCGGTTAAAAAAGTCGCCAACTGTTCGATGCTACAAAAATGGTGGTACTCAAGAAATTTCGTAGAAATCATTGCGTGTTCACCATGGTGATATGACGAAGGGCTGTATACATATAACACGGTCTCATCTGCTGACATCTCTATGTAAATATTATGGTATAGCATCCACACGGGGCTATTACATAAAATGAAATTTAAAATTCAAATTTTCTATATTTGTTTGCGTTCATACGTATGCAACAATTGTTCATTCAATTTCGAAAAGCACAAAGCATGACCGATTTGCAGAGATCTACTGTGTAACCATATTTAAAGCTACAGAATAGATCAGTGCTTGAATGTGCTTTGCTACAGTCACCATAAAATAAAAATGTGACCGCATATAGCTAACCATGTTTTATCTGGTATAGTACTACGACGTTTCTAGCGAGATCATTCGTCGATTTAATAAACGTCACGAAGCTCTACTTCGAAACCATGAATCTAAGCTGGCGTTCACGTTTTACCAACGTCATATTTGGCTTATCTGTTGTGTGTATTGCACTGGTGTTCACGCTCAGTCAATTCAGTTTCAACGCTTATAAAGTCCGTTTAATTCCAGGCAGTTTACTGGAGCGGAATTTAGACAGACTACCGAAAAGGTTTGGCGCGAATATGTACTGGATATCGAAGAACATTTTGCCACTTGAATGGGAGGATATACACTGTAAAGAGGGAAAAAATAAGACGAAAACTATTATTTTTAACAAAAGGGTTGCAAAATTGTCAAAAGCACTTGGAATTGTGGACGGTCAATCATTATTTGACACTAATACGGGCTGTTTGAAGTGGCTCAAACAATTTCGTTCCCAGTTCCCTAATCTTGACTTGGCCGGGTTCGACGAGGATTACGACGCGGTCGATTACGCGAAACGTTTCTTCAACGATACAGCACGGAAATTTGTAAAGCGGTTATCGCGAGCACGGAATAACAGTTTTGACCACGCTATTAATTTCGCGGGCTTACAAACAACGAGGGCCGATAAACAATGCTCAGAGGTCAAAACTATTTTGAAGACCCTAAAGCCAGGTGGTATTTTGTACATTGGACACAACTTGGAACAAAGTTGCCGAAGTAAGACTTGTGAAAAATGTTTGTCTAACATGATGAATATAGGTTTTACGATTTTGAACAAATGTTTTTGGCCCAAAATATGTCTTAGAGGGGAAAGAAATCTATATGACATTTATTATATTCTAGAACAATATTTTTTTGGTTCGTCTAGTGATTTTTCCGAATGTCGAACGGGCGTATTCATACGGAAAAAGCCCGGTGGCCATACGAACAAAACACTACCGGCACTAAAACCCTCGGATATCTATTACCAATGTTAATGGAGTCTAATATTTATCTAGAATCACTGTTTGCAGTCTGCTGGTAGAGGACAAAAGAACAAAACTCTACCGGCATATAAAGCATCGAATATTTATTACCACTGTCAGTGTAGACCTATATATTTATATAACTAATTCTTTTTTTGTGGTCTACAGATGTCATGCATATACGAATAAAACACCATCGGCACTTAAACCTTCGGGTATTTACTACCAATATTAATTGTTGAGGCTTTTGTGATTACTTAACCTTAACTTATAAAAAGTTAAAGCAAGAGTTTATTTGAATATTGAACCTATTTCAAATCAATTTTGATATTTAAAACTCACTAGTTTTACTCAGTCAGGCAGTCTCATAGAACTATAGGATAGCAAAATCCTTTAACTCTTATCTCACAGTTAAGAGCTTATATAACCGTGATTGATTAATGATTAGACTTGACTATTTGAGGAAAATTGTTTGGCAAACCTTTCCACCTTAACATCGCATTCGACGATTCGTCCTTTTGCATATTAAACCGCTTTTCCAAACAACTTGTTCCATTTCCTTGCCTTGTCTTTATTCTCTCAGGAAGATTTCGATTATAAATGGTTGGCAGTTTGTTACGATTTAAAGTGTTTTCACCAATCTTGCTAAAAGCTGAGGCTTCCTGTTCTGTAGCTTTTCTCTCTGTTGTGTCATTCAAAGACCATTTCAAATCTTTCCTTGGTAAAAATGTCGTTGAATCCGACAATTTATTTGCTAAAACACGATTCATTCTCCTCTTTATATCTTCTTTCACTTCCGTTTGACGTAGCTTCGAACTGACTTCCTTTCTAGTTTTATCACGGAAAAGTTTAATTCCTGATAAAATCCTTTTCCCTTTAAAACCCTTTAATTTTGTTTCATAATAATGTTTCTCAAACGCGTATCTTTTCTCTGAGAGTATTTCCTCTGCCTTTAACCTTCCCAGTTCGTCTCGCAACGGTTTCCCCCAGCGAAGTCGGCTGAGATTTTGAAGCATTCTATCCTTTCGTATCGTCTCTTTTGTTCCAGAGATTTCAACCTGGTCGTCTGTAGAGATGATGTGTTTTGATAATGGCCAAGTCATTCGTGTTCCGCTCAATTTTCTTCAAATTCTTGTTCAAAGCATTTTGCTTACGCACAAGATTAAACTGTTCGCCATTTGTTTTTGGTGTCGATCTAATCACATAACTATGACAAATGTGAAAACCAGGATTTTTGTGATGTGAAAATATGATAATTATACCTCTTTTAATAGCTGTAGTTGTCATAAAGGAATCAAGGGTGGGTAGTAGCGAAGTAGTTGTAGTTCGCTACTGTAGCGAACTACAATTTTCAAGTATAGCTATGTAGTTTTTGACTACTTTTTTAAAACAGTAGTTGTAGTTATAGCGAACTACATTTTGCCTAAAAATAGCCAAGTAGTTGACTACTTTTCAAACAGCGAATCGCTATATTCCCTACTTTTTAAAATTGTTAGCAACCGTTCGTAGAATATAATGATATTAAGACACGGTTTGCTTAAAAGATCATTTTATACAGTAAAGATTATTTTAGCGCATTGAAAAGTGGCACTCCTGAACACTGTAGGGCTTACAAAAACTATTCTTTGACCCTTTTGTTTACTGTTGCCACTCGTAAGTCGATTTGTTATAGGTTAAATTACAGCCTGAGCCCAAATACCGTAGAACTAAAAAATATAGAGTAGCGAAATAGCGAAATAGTTCGCTACATTTTTTAAGCAGTAGCTGTAGTCAGTAGCGAACTACTTTTGTTCAAAAGTAGCAGTAGTTGTAGCTGACTACATATTTTTGAAGTAGCTGTAGTTATAGCGAACTACAAAAATTTTGTAGTCAACCCACCCTTGAAAAGAATACACTGGAAAAAATATAGTGAAATCCGTCCATACTAGTGTTCTATGGAATTGACAATTGCATCACTAAATTCATAGTATATCCATACTATTTCCACAATATATCCATAGTGTGGAAATTGCAAATAGCATGAAAATTGAATTTCATATGGATTTTGAAAAAAACTTCCAGCGAATATATTCTTAAACAGCTGATGGTTTTAGCAAATACAAAACAGTTAACCTGAACGAAGTGTGAAATTTTATACAATTTTACTATTGAACCTGGATATTTCGATTTACCTGCAGATTTATTCTCAGCAGAAAACTTCATAAAATACCCATAAAGATATCTTATAATTAAATTCCTGAGGAGAAAAATTCTGAATATAAACAGTTTCAATAAAATTTTGTATAACATACTTTTTGTATGGGATAACTTTTACTGACTGTATTCACTTAAAAATAAATTTTATATTTCAAAAGGATTATAATTTATGCACACTCGTATATTATTGTTAAAATTTCAACTGGATTTTATTGAAAACCTTTAGTTTAAAGGTTTATTAAAACAAGTGAAAATGACTTTGAATACTCCAATTCTACACTGAGTATCTTAGTGGATCAATATGATCTATACTATAAACTATACTTCTACATATAACATATAAAAATATTTGAACTTTTCATAACCGTTTATAGCTGTCGGCTTCCGGTGATTCCGCTGACATCAATGTTCCAGGCTCGTGCATTAAATCTACGATGTATGTCTTGGGTGGATAGGCATGCGCAGTTTCAGGCTACAATAAAAAATGGAAAAATGATTCTGTGCAGAGTGTTACAGGTACCATTCTCAAGAACAATATCCAATTGATAGAACTTTTAAAGTTATATATGAACACCCTTTACAAAAAAATGATCAAATTATCTGGGTTTTTGATGACGTCAAAAGCAGGGTAAACTTGTTAAAACTTCTTCATGTGAGACTAAATTTCTTCGAAAAGTTTCTCAAAATGTTGTAAGTTAATTGAGTACTAAAATGACTTCGGAAAATCGAGTTTCAAAATGATAATGACATGTAGTTTGCAAGATAAAAATTTCGCTTTTTACCCTACTTGTGACGTATGCATATCGAATGCATATCCAAGATGGCGGAATGCACGCTGCTTTTGATCAAAATAAGTCGATTTATTTCGAAAACAAAGCAAGATACAGAATAATTGTAAAGGAAGTTTAGATATCATTTTAAATGTTCTTTCAAATAAGACAAACTTAATTTATATTGCCATATCCTTTCAAATAAGCCATATCCCTTTAACAAATTAGAAACATTTAACATTCCAAGAGTAGAAACATCGTGATTTTGACGTGTGGAAATATTTTTTCTCGTTTGGCTACCTCGTTTGCCTATACCGACGTTGAAAGAAATAATTTGATATGACTTACCTGTGATTTCGTACGGAGCATGATTTCATTCCATGCTCGGTTGTATTCTCCCCGTACTAACGAACAAGGAATGGTAAGTGAATCTGCTAATACCTAGAACGGAAACCAACACATTTATCCTCATAGCAAGACTACTTTGTGGCAATTAATAAATACATTAGCTTTGAAGCATATAATTTTATTTTACAAAAATTTAGATACGAAACTAGTTTTAGTATTTACTAACATTGAAAAGACTGCATAAAAAGAAGTGTTTAGTTTCTGTGTGAGAAAAGCTTACCCTATTTTATCTTTGAATGTCTTACCTTGAAAAGGAGTGCTCTGTGATAAAATATTCCAGATTTGACTCTTCCTATTGGTATAAGATTCGAGTTGAGTTCGTGTTTTATATCACTGATATGTAGTTCATAATTGAACGACTGAAGCCAGCCTTTCTCGCAGGCGCCACCCATTTTGTAGCTCACATATCTAGAAAATACATAAAGAAATAACGGTCAGCCTGGACTGGTTTAGGCTAGCCTGCGAACAGGCTCTCAAGCTGAATTGAGAGCCTGCATCGATGACTAATGAATCTGAATATCTGCGTCTCAAATCGTGACGCGAAATTCTCATTGGTCAGATGCTATAATTTATATGTTTCCGCTGAGCTCTATATATGTCAACTGCTGAAGCACTATGCATAAAAAACACATTAACTGATCAAATTGGTCTTGGCCATCTTATCTCAAAGCACGAAATGTTCTGTTTTGAGAAAACAGTATTTAAAACATTTAAACTTTTGCTTGAATATCTTATATTTCGAAAAACAGTATAAACTGTACGGTCTAAATTTAGTTTGCACGGTCTAAATTTAGTTTGAACGAAAGTTGTAAACAACACCATATAAGGATAGACATTCCATATTTGGAAAAACGAACGTTACGGGGCAGATATTCAAATTCATTAGTCACCGATGCAGGCTCTCAATTCAGCATGAGAGCCTGTTCGCAGGCTAGGTTTAGGCTGCATGGCTCTCTCCAACGGTAATATTCCAGAACGTAGTAGTATTCTGCAATAAGCTGGTGTTGTTCGCGTCTGAACTATCGAAGGCTTCTTAATGTCGAACTATTTTTAATCCCAAAAAGAAACAAATTCCGAAAAATAAGGTCATCTTGAAATTCAAGATATTAATTGAACCAAGACGAGTGTATGAGACTGAAAATTTTCGACTTTATTTCAAAGTCATCATCAGACAGGATTTTCTGAACATCATCAGACCGAATTTTCGGAATTTGTTTCTTTTTGTACTCATTTTCTTAAATTGTCGGCTGGCCGTGATTTTTAATCCCGTCCAGGTAATTCAGACCCAAAATGGCAAATTATTCAAGCAAATCCTGCTCTCAAGAGGTAAAATATGAAGATACTGCACCTAGCCAATTCTGTGATTTGATCTTCGATGGAAGGAAGTGGAGCGACACTTTCCTGAACTTCACGCATGTAGTCCAGTAGATCAGGATCAGTGGATGGTTGCCATGGCAACGGCGTTTCAGGCTCTTCCTCAGTTGGTAGCTCGATTTGTGGAGGCTCTGGCTCCTTCTCTGGAAGGATTTGAGATCTGCTTCTAGAATTTGAGAATTTCGCATGTCAGGTGGGTTTCACTGATCACTGTTGTGCGGCGGTGATGGTGGTCAACCATCGATGTTATTAGAGGGAGGGAATAAAGTTAATTCGTTTGTCGTGTATAAGTAGTAGTCATGTTAATGCTGATGTGTGTTAATGCTGATGTCAACAATTTTGTGTCAACAACAGTCAACCACTACCATCTTCTTCCTCGCAATGTTTACTGAAACCTACCAATCACGATGATGTCAAGTTTTCAACTCATACAGTACATACACATATATTAAATAATAACTCGATTATAACCAAAGTCCCAGTCAAACGAGGGTGAGAGTTAATGAGACTTGTAAAGGTGGAGTAATACGGTCAACAAAATTGCTGCAACTTGCGTTGAAATCAGATTTTGTTGCAAGTTGCAGCAATTTTGTTGCTCGTATTACTCCAGCTTAACTCTCGCTCACATTTGATCGCCAACTCAGGTCGACTCTCAGGCATGCATTCTCCTCAATTCTTATGAAATTCTAATGAGAGATCCAGTCAACCTTCATCAACTCTCATGCAACATTTGTCCACGAGAGTTGAGAAAACTCTCATCCAAACCCTCACTTGCCAACAACTCTCATGCTCGTTTGATCAGGTTTGATCAAGTCTCAAGTATCAATGACGTAATAACTCCCTTAATCACTCAGATATACCATCTAATAAACCAGCCAACTAACCTTTTAACATCCCTGAGGGTAAGCTTGCTTGGTTTCGCTAATTTTTCAACACTTTTCTCAGGTTGTATTATTGTAATTGGCTTGGGAGAAGGTGGCCTGAAAATAAATGGAGTCACGGTTGTGCTCAACATTTTACATATGCGGTTAAGAATATGTTAAGAATAAATGTAATAAATAACAAGGACATCGTACCTTTCAGGACTAGTTAAATTGACATACAACACAGGTCTCGATGTGTTAACAGGCTCCTGGGAAAGTTCCTCCAAAGTTAAAATCCGAGCTTCAGGACGAATCTGGAATGAAAGAATAAAAGACAAAAGGGAATTGGTTGTAAAAAGGGGTCCTAATGAGAGTTTGACCACATCTAAAAACAAAGTCAGTAGACATGGCGAAGATTTTTCTCCAATGCTTACCTTTCCACAATCATAGAAACAATGCCCTACGATATTCGAGGGCGAAAGATATCCACGTAAACTATACTTCGCAGGCAGATTACAATCAAATAAAGATTCAAGAGCAGCATCACTAAATCCTGATTTACGACTGCTAGACAACGCGATGGTTTGGAGAAGGTCCAAGGCTCTATATGGAGATTACAATCTTATCAGTGTCATCCTGCAATGCAGCATGTTCTACAATGCCCACAACTTCCTTTTATATGTTCCCAATACTAATAGTTAATATTACCTTATAAGTTCTTTGTACATAGGTTTGCATGGCAATAAAACATATAATACTATTGTTTGTGGAAACTAAATAAATTTACGTGGTGTTTCTGCAAACAATATTATTATTACCTTATAGTTAGATCGACATATATCTACAATCAATGTTAAGACTTGTTTTTATTTATTTAAAAGAATTCGTGATTTCTTGTTGGCTAATAGCCAAATGTGAAATCGTCGTGTCAACCCAATAGGCGAATAGCTGACCAAGTATGGAGTTTTGACACCAATATTCAACGGAGTGACGTCTTAATGTTCATATTAAAAAATAATCAATTCCTACCCAAGACTGCAAAGCTCAGTTGCGGTCGCCAAGTCGTTCCCACAAACAACCATGGCCCATGATGCAGTGCGACGAACTTCGTTCACGTTTGAAGAGAGAAATTTGACAAGGGGGGCCAGGCCTCCGTCTTGACGAAACTAAAAAATGCACGTCACAACAAAATTGCCTCAGTGAAGCATATGATACTGAGTTAGACAAAAATATTGCAGATTAATTTCGTGAAATGAATACTGACCTGTGTGCGAGCATCAGAATCACACAAAAACGAGGCAGCTGCAAGCGCCATCTTGGACTGGACACTTGGATTACTAGAATTTACCATAAAATTTGATTTAAATATTTTTCTAAATGTATATAGATGTATTTAAAGTAGTATAATAGTGTTTCTTTTGTCATCCTGAAGATGCAGGTTAAATGATAATTTCTGTTTATAGACGTTGAACAAGTACTTCACAGTCAAAACGTACTATTTACCAATCAAACAATGACTTAACTAACATGCAAGCTATCAAGTTACTGTACAAACTGTAATATCACTGTATCTTACTTAGAATTAAGTGCGATGGCCAGTGATGATGTAATACCAAAGCTATTAATTTCGGCTCTCCATGACTCTAAAAAATGGTGATAAATAATTAATTAAGATTACTTAATCTTAATTAAATAATAATGAAGAAATTAATCCCACGTTAGGCCCAGAAAAAACGAGGAAAAATGTTTCTGTCTGGCAGTAACGGCTTGGTTATTAGAAGATGTCAAATAAAAAGAAATGCCAAGAAGAAAAGCTTCAAAAGACTAAATATAACGTACCATTGTGTGCCAGGTTCGTTAGACAAACGGATGAATTCACTTGAGTTTGTGGTTTTGGATCTGTGAGCAAACGAACCAACGGCTCCGCACCACCCTTGTCCATTAAAATACTGAAATAAAACAACAATATATATAGTTCAGTTGTTGTTGTTGTTGTTGTTGTTGTTGTTGTTGTTGTTGTTGTTGTTGTTGTTGTTGTTGTTGTTGTTGTTGTTGTTGTTGTTGTTGTTGTTGTTGTTGTTGTTATTGTTGTTGTTGTTGTTGTTGTTGTTGTTGTTGTTGTTGTTGTTGTTGTTGTTGTTGTTGTTGTTGTTGTTGTTGTTGTTGTTGTTGTTGTTGTTGTTGTTGCTGTTGTTGTTGTTTTTGTTGTTGTTATTGTTGATATTGTTGTTGTTGTTGTTGTTGGTGTAGTATTGTTGTTGTTCATGTTGTTGCTGTTGCCGTTTGTCGTTGTCGTTTGTTCTTGTTCAAAAACGTTGATAAGTTTTAAAAAAGTAACGTTATACCTAGCGTTGGGATTGGATGTAGTAAGATTAGCCAGAGCCAAAGACGAGAACTGACGGGCCTCTGGATCGTCGTTCTTCAACAAAGTCACCAAACATGGTATGCCATCTGGTACGAAGAACAACAACAATAAGACAGGGAGTAAGTGTATTAAGCAGAACTTCCTTTATAAAACATTAAGTTAAGAAGCTATACGGCGAAGACAATAGATATCTAAATTTATTTTGGTGAAAAAATACAAAACCTCCCCATTTAGAATTCTCCTTTGAATGAAAAAACCAAAAGAATACTCTCCTACATGCACATACCTAATTTTCCAATCTCATCTCGACTACTCAAACTTTCAGACATTACAGCCAGAGCTTCTGCTGCAGCGGCTTGAACCGAGGAGGACTGGAAACATTAAAGAAAAATGGAAAAACAATAATTTAAATATTTAGAATCCTCTAACGCCCAAAAAGGAATTTCAGATTTTCACAAATTTTCCCTGAATTTCTCTCTTTAAATATTATACGAATATTTATTGTCCATCAAGTATGAACCCTATAAGATTCTTTCGGAAACGATTATTTTATGAATTCACTACCTCGTTTGTGAGTAAGGTGATGAGCGTTTTCTCACATTCTTGTTCGTGAAGAATCTTGCGTGTTTCATCTAGAGTAACAAAGGAGAAATAATTCGGGGAAAGAGACGCAAGCAGAACATAAAGGAATTCATAGCAGAAATATTGTATACTAGTTTCATATTATTACTGCAGTGCTAGGATAACATTAAACTAGTTTCCAAGGATAGTTCTGAAAAAGATTGTATACAACCGCACAGAAATTCCAGTCTTACCACTTTGAGCTGCAATTGCCAATGACTTTGCCTATAAAAAATAAATTGGGTAATAAGAAAAAGTCTTTTTGGATCCATTGTATCCTTACGAAAAGGTGTCAGGTGTGTCCAGTATACTTACTGCGTGTTGTTGAACGTCAGGAACAGTGGATTCTGCTGCAAATGCTAAAAACTTTTGTAAACTTCCTGTAGACTGAATTACCTGGAAATTATAACGATGACTTATAAATTCGATGTTACTTAGCTCAATATGCTGTTGGCATACGCCCATCGACAGTTATTTTTTTTTATTTCTTTTACTCAATCTTATTATTGTTTTCATCAATAACTATGTGTGTATGAAATGTAACTTGCAATACCTCCATACTTTCTAAGTCTTGCATACAGTTAGATAAAATCTGCATTGCTTTCACGTGAAGATCCTCGTAATCCTGAAAACAATATTGCATGGTAAATAATAATGAAAAATCATATTCAAATATGTACACACTACACAGTTACAGTAACTAGTCTAACTATCGGTGATAGCTCATATAATTGATTACAGTTGGTCCTAAAAATGATTTGTCAGAGATGGGAACGGAATAAGTGATTCAAAATTTGCCTGAATCAATCGTTATTCCAATCTCTTAAACTCAAATATTCATTTCCTATACATGAACCAGTCATTCACTATATTCATTGTTCCGTTTTCATTTTCTTATCGTACCTTAACGCCAATAAAATCCACAATTTTTTGAAGGCCTTCCAATTGTCGGATCTCTTCACGGTTCACAGCTGGTAAAATACGGAAGAACTATATATATATATATAATCAAAAAACTTTTTACTTTTTCATATATACTTTAAATTCACACTGCAGTAATACAGGGTGTATAAAAAAAGGTAGACACTTTTGAAACGGCTCTCATGCAATTTCACAAATCCGTTCATTTCATGATTTTTTTTATAAATATAGACTTACAATGTAGAATAAACAAAAAAGTTTCGTAAAGATAAATTTTCCAGAGCGGCAAGGGGGTGTCTTTTTTATGAGCATTAAAAATAGCTTGCGCGCGAAATTTAAAAGTTTAAAACGCATTTCAAGTTGATGGGCCAGAAATGTGTTATGTGTTTTATCAATGGTCCAAATATCAGAAAATTTACTCAATTTTAAGTCCGTTAAATAACCGCTGAAACTTTCATTTTTTGGCACGAATGCCTTTCAAACATGCTTAATTCATGAATTTGCCTAATTTACATATTCTTATTGTAAAAAAAGTAAAATTGTCTACTTTTTATACACCCTGTATACTGGTTAAACATGAATAAAAAATAAGAAATCAAACTTATACCTTCATATGTACAATTTAGCAACGTATTTAACGCTAATTCCTGAATAATGGCGTATTGCGAGTCAAGGAGAGCAAAAAGTGGCTGAAAACCTACAGAAATAATGAAAGGCCTAATTAATTGTTCAAAATATGTCTTTTCTGTTTTGTTTTTGTCATCCATTGTAAATAATAGGTTACCATTTAGTTCCTTGATAGCAGAGCGGCTTTGATAGTCCTCCACCAATAGAGAGATGCACTCCACGGCGTTTTTCTGACAAATTAAACACAAGTTGAGGCACTACACTGTTTCCTGTTCGTTTCACTGGCAATTAAATATAATTTCACATTATATTTCCTTCCGCTAGTCACCTGGATATCACAATCAGTTGAAGCAAGTAAACGAATTAATGGTTCCAAGCCATTCTTTTCAAATATTTCAATCTTGTTCCCAAAATCACCTAGTACATCATGCATAAAAGTCGTTGAAAAGTTTCACAATTTTGGATAAATAGACAATATATATAACTAGTAATTCAAGTAAATGAAGAAATTCAACGTACCAGCTAACATTGTTAGTGCTAAACTTGCAAATTCATGGCACAATGCCTCTTCTAAAATTGAGCATTAAGGTGGTTAATAATTGAATAGTTGTTAAATATCATTACTAATTATCATTATGCAGTACTTGTGAAATTCATGAACAGGGGCATGGCGAGTGTACCATAATTGAGGGTACGTGCACGCCTTACTTTTACCGACAGAACAGGTGTGGTTTTGATGCAATGGGGCAGGGTGAATGGTATGTTATCAAAATTGTTAGGAAAGAGGTAACTGATGCAAAATGAGCATGCTGATGCTGCAGCATCCCTCTGCATACCCCCCCCCCCCCTTTCCTTTGCTCTACCTTGTTGCACTTGACAGCAATTACAAAGGTGTGGTCATGCCAATGAAATAAGTACAGTAACAGATATAAAATACCTTCAGGTCCAAGAAGTATTATCAATGATTCAATACAATCCAGTTTTCGTAAGCTCTTCCTAACATTTACTAAAATGGAACAGTTTTAACCTATTGAGTGCCAGCATTGTCCCCTTGACATGTAAAATCATCTTACAATGTAGGGTGCATTAGGGTTCAATAAGAAGACGGGCAGACCATCTGATATACCAATTGAGTGCCAGCTGGTATAGTGGTATACTCGGCCCACATTGAAGACAAGTAAAATTGTCTGGCAGAGTAAGTAGGGTTAAGTAGGCAGAGTAAGTAGGGTTATCATTTGTCCACTATCTTCTCAGTGCTCAGTTAAAAATATTGGCAAACTGTCAGTTAGCGCCATTCAGACCCTTAAGAGGCTGTCTCTGTAAGAACCGGGCACCCAGTTCTGGAAGGAAATATGAAAGTCTTCAAATTTTTCACAATAAGTTTCCTTTCAGGTACTTGTATGAAAAAAGAAATCGGTTTGCGTTAAAAAGCTTTTTTTGTAAAATTTGGCCCATTGATATTTTACACCTTGACGGGTCCAAAATGGCGGCCTGAAACTGCCGTAAATAGAAGATTTTCGTACGACTCTCGCGAAGCAAGTAGGTAAGTAAGAGTCTTATGTATCAAAATATTTTAACAATCAGTGGTTATAGTTTCTTACAACAAAAAATCAGGAACATCTATCCAGGATTTGAGGAGAAATAATTTTCTGAAAAGATACACTTTTACTAGTTTGCAAAGTCGCACATTATAAGACAAATTAAATAGCAATTTTCGTAAGTTTGGCACCTTATACCAAGTACACATTACTACCATTGTGAACCTAGAGCTGTGTTTTTTCAACGGGAAACGTAAAATATTTGGGCACTTGACGGGCATAGCCACAAATGATCTACAAAGTTTGATAATTTTCCTGTAATTGACGAGTGACGACGCATGCGTTGCTAACGTAATTTTTCTTGAAAACTCTCACCCAGCAACATTGCTGGAAAAAATAACTTAAAAGTCAACTTTTATTTTGCTTTTGTTTATTAAACGTTTCGCAATTAATACGCAAATATTTTTTCTGTCGCGCTTGGTCATTTATTTTTCTATTTATTTTCACCGGTGGTTCCATGTTCATTGCAGGGGCGTGCTCAAGTTATGAATATCTTTAATCGATTAGCAAACGGCTTGAAATATCGATCGGCGAATACAGGCATTTGTTTAAACTGTAAAACTTATAACAATCTTTATATCCTTTCATAAACAAAGATTACAATTCGGCAATTAAGTTGCTATATTAATTAAATAAATGTAAAAATTTATGCTACATGCTAAATGCTACATGCTACATGCTCAATTTCTCTGCTGAATATTTTGACGCGGGGTATATCAATAACCAATTGCTTTCTTATTAATAAGTACTATTTAAAGCACGCGTAGGAGTGTTTTATCACATATAAAACACGACTCATCTTATACGAGTTCATTTGCGAAATAATTTTTAAAATAAACTTTGTCTAAACCGAGAGAATCAAAGCTAAAGTTTATGTAAGGCCATATAAAATAAATTCCTTGATTCTCATCGCTAAATTTTAAAAACTCCCAGGAGGCGGGAGGTTTATATTTTATATTTATGTCAAAATATAAAAAAAAAGTTTAAAATTTAAAAAATTGGAGAGGGAGGTCTTTTATATTTGCCTTAAATATATTATAGAAGAACGCTATATAAGTGGATAATTGCACATGCGCTAATGAACATGCATAAGGGTCCACACAAATCGTTGTAATAAGGCTATAAGCCATAGGCTATAAGCCCATTTTTCCCTTCAGTATTCCAAGCATCCCTTAACATGTTGCAATATTAACGATAAAACAATTTTATATCGCAAAAATTCCAATATAAAATATAAAAATAACTAAATGTCTATAAAGATGCTCGGTCGGGCGGTAAATTTATATTTTATAACAAAATACAAAAATATATCAACGCGGAAACCAAAATATCGTCGGGCGGTGATGAGAATCAAGGAATTTATTTTATATGGCCTAAATTAAAGTGATTTTTTATCACATATACTGTAAAACCACGACACGCTTATGATTTTTCTTTGTGTTTTGCTCCGGAATTATTAAGGACTTTTTGGCGATAATTATAAACGCACGCCTATATTATACATTCCACCCAGCCTAGTCCCAGGCTCTCTCTCTCTATTCGCTGCTTTGATATATTTAAATGAGTCTTAAAAGTTTTATGCCTGGGTGTGCTATGCGGAACGCTTCAGCGAGAGAGCCTAGCAGATTTCGGTAAAATGGTCCCTGATTTCAAAAAAGTGGTCCCTGGCCTGGTTACCAAACATACCGCATTTGTAAATAGAAAATGTTATGGAAATTTCCTTTGCGTTTATAATTAAGTCATTAGTTCTGCTCTAATGCTGTCGGAACAATGAAATAGGCTACGTTTCGCTACCATACGGTCAGAATGGATTAACTGGCTAAATATGACTCGTGTTTACTAAAATATAAAGCCACATTAAATGATATCTAGAATCTTGAAAATTATGCCGAGTTTCCGACTAAAAATGTTTTGACAACACAGTCATGTCAGGCAAATATTTCCAATCTCCTCAGCTACTTAAACTTGTCAAGTAGAAAGCGTAGTTGTGTATACCAGTATGGTCTAGTGTTGATCACAACTTGCGAGTATATAAATATCATCAACGATTATACGACCATTCTCAGCATCGTAAATTTGTATATATTTTTTAATTGAGCACATTTTTAATACAGTTTGAATTTGGTTATGTAGACATCGAACATGATCAACGAACATTGTAGTATTTATATAAGGTTATTTGTTTATATAAATTTTCCGCTATATTAAAAATACTGAAATCTGCTAGGCGTTCTGAAGCACCTTTAGCGGTGATGTCACACCTAGGTCCCAGTCTCTTACTACATCCACGTTTTTTCTCGCGCTTGCTTCAAAACGACTGGGACTAGGCTGCATTCCACCAACTTTTGGCATTCGCTTGAAAGTTTTAGTGACTTGAAGATTAATATTTGACTTTCATGCGGATTCGGTTCTAAGATGTCTTCCATGTGTTCATTTTCCACTCGTATAAAATCTGAATGCGGCAGTCATTTGTGAGTGTGGAGAATGTTACTGTATGTTGACAAAATGTAAAGACGATATTCGCGGGCGTCTTTCAAGCTGCCACTTGTCTTGGGAAAATATCGAAGAGTATGAATTAATCTTAGCCAGGGCTGGATTGTTTGATATTCCGGAGTCAACTGGAGAAGATGGGGGTTTGCCCTCGTCACGCTTTGGGGAAGGAATAGCGTCCTCTTCGCTTGTGTCAGTATCCAACTCATCTATCCAAAAAGAAAAAAGTGCAAGGTTCCCATGTTGTTCAGCTAAAGCTTGCAAACGAAATCCGTAAAATAGGACTGTGGAGTTGTAGGGTTGTAGAGCGGTATAGAGTTTTAGAGCTGTAGAGCTCTAGAGTTGTAGACTTGTAGAGTTGTCGGGCTGTAGAGTTGTATAGCTCTAAGGCTGCAGAGTTGTAGGGCTGTAGCGTTGTAGAAGTGTAGAGTTGTAAAGGCACAGGGCTGTAGAGTTGTAGGGCTGTAGACTGAGCTGTAGTGTTGTAGAGCTGTAGAGTTCTAGAGCTGTCGGACTGTAGAGTTCTAGAGCTGTAAAGTTGTAGGGTTGTAGCTTTGTTGCCACGAATAGTGCCAATTTGTACTTCAGACGAATGCCAAAAGTTTGTGGAATGTAACATAGGCGTGTGTTTATAAGAGGTGAATATTCCCCGATAATCACTGAGCTTGAGTTTTAGCATTTTTACACAAGCCTTATGTGTTTTTTAGGACTGAATTTATTTTAATTTCGCTTATTTCTTTATCAGTAACTTCCACAAAACGGCTAGCCGCCATTCTGTAAATTTTGGTTTTGTTATATTCACCTGTAGGTGAATATAACAGCTTAATACGTCACATTTGAAATAGATAGATAAACTTTATTTACCCACGCTAACCCTGTCAACCGAAGCTGATTTTCCACAGGGGGCGTGTAAAAAGCGATTGTTTATTCATTGATAGTACCACGCGTCAAAATATTCAGCAGAGAAATTGACACTTTCCGGTTTCTGACAATGCTCGACCTAATTAGCATGTAGCATACATTTTTACATTTATTTAATATAGCAACTTATTTGCAGAATTGTAATCTTTGTTTATGAAAGGATATATTAAAAGATTGTTATAAGTTTTACAATTTAAACAAATGCCTGTATTCGGCGATCGATATTTCAAGCCGTTTGCTAATCGATTCAAGATATTCATAACTTGAGCACGCCCCTGCAATGAACATGGAACCACCGGTAAAAATAAATACAAAAATAAATGACCAAGCGCGACAGAAAAAATATTTGCGTATTAATTGCGAAACGTTTAATAAACAAAAGCAAAATAAAAGTTGACTTTTAAGTTATTTTTCCAGCAATGTTGCTGGGTGAGAGTTTTCAAGAAAAATTACGTTAGCAACGCATGCGTCGTCACTCGTCAATTACAGGAAAATTATCAAACTTTGTAGATCATTTGTGGCTATGCCCG